ATAAATATATGGGAGAAACAAATAAAAACTATTAATCACTTTCTGTTTAATACTTCAAATAGAATTTTTCAAGGGGTGTGTATTTAAAACATTAAATCCTGATGATTAATAAAGGCTGAACACATGTTTCATTCTTTCTGCCATTATGTGATTCAAACTGCTGTTAATTAATTATGCATAAATGCAAATAAATAAAAAAAATTTCTAAAACTCTCATAATGACAAGAACTATCTTGACACTTCTTTGAGACCCTACTAGTTTAAAACAAACAATTAAAATAAATCCATAATAAAACTAAACTGAAATGCAAAATGATACAAAAACAGAATTTTTACAAAGATAAAAACTTCAGAAACTGTGCGCAGTTTACAGAAAGATTCGTAATTATTATTCTTCTTAATAAGTTAAGAAAACACATGAATGAACCTTATAAATGCTATTTTATATATAAAAAATAAGATGAAGCTCAATTATGTTGTACTAAATTTTAACATGCTTAAAGTAAAGGAATTTCAGAAAAAGAAGACTAAATTAAGTTAAAATCACAAATGCTGCTGTAGTGTAAGACTTCAAAAATTAGTTAATTCAATCTAGAAAAATCAAAATTGGGAAAAAAAGCAAAAAGAAAATATGTTGCAGACCATGCAGCAGTGTAAAATGGCCAAAAGGTAGGTTGCCGAATTCTGTAAAAATCTTGAAACTACAGAAAAAAGGAGAGTGAGAGCAATTTAACTGATATGCATTACAAAAGGGGGTGGGTGCCTGTTCTCCTGGGGCTGCTCATTTGGTGAGGTTTTGGTTGCTTGGCTCAGTCAAGTCACCATCAAACTATTCCTCAGTGTTTTCCTGAATACCATTTTTGAAGAATTTTACATTTTCAATTTTTTGGCATACAATTTCACCTATGGCCTTTACTTTTTCACAGTTTGATAAATCTATGGCATATGCTTAAGAAGAATCTTTTTTCTGATCAAAATTATGCATGTTTGTTTTTTACATGCTATTGCAAAGAGCGTTGGGTGTGTGTGCATGGGCACTGCCACGCATGGTAAATCTGCAAACCAGATAATCTGTGTGTGAATAATCAATAGTGTAGGATATTTGATAGTGTGATAATTTGTGTGTAGGATATTTGAAACTGTAATTATATTTAAGAAATAATACTATTGCTTGTTATGATGCAAGCTGTTGTTTGGCCATGCCTAGAATAGATGTTAAAATTTTGGGGAAAAAAATTATTCTGTAAAAAGAAGTTATATGCTGCTGTTTGCTATATGCTGCTGAAATTTTCACCTCGTTGACATATAGCGATTTCTTGCCCATTTAGAAAAATTTTGGAAGTCCCCCCAAAAAACCTTGATTTTCATAGAAGGTTTTTTGTGCCATTCCCTGTTTGTCAATGCTATAAAATAGAGTTTGCATGAGTTTATTCAGAGTTAGTCTGTTTAGAGTGATATGTTGTTGAGTTTGTTACTTAGTGTCCACTTTAGGGTGATTTTATAATTTGCAGTATTGATCGTGTGCTAAAGAGAATTTTAGAATTATCTTTTGATTCTTCTTGAGCTATTTTTATCTGTCTCCCTTCACCTAAAAAGAAAAAGAAAAGAAAAAAAAAAGCACTATTGCTTAACCTGTTCAGGACCAGTGTCGCGTATATGCGGCACAACGATTCCACTCCTACCAGCCCAGCGTCCTGTATACGCATCGAAATGATTCTGCTCCTACGAGCCCAGCATCGCGTATACGTGACATTAAAATGGAACGATTTATTTGAATCTTTAAAAGCCAGTAAATGAAGCTAAGTGGTAATTGTTTTCACATAGATTGATTCATACGGCATTTTACCTTCATGTACTGGCATTAGTTTGCTTTGTGCTTCTTGTTTTGAGAGATTTATTGAAATAAACAAACTGGAATTCATGGCTCTTTATAAGTGTGCCTGTGAATTAAAGGGCATTTTTGTTTATTTCTTTAGAATTTACTTTTTTTTTTTTCTTCTTTGTTTTTGTTTTTCTATTTATTTTAAAACTTAACATAAGCTTTCTTGGTTAATTAAAAAGTAACATTACAACATTATTACAGAAGGGGAAAGACTATCAACTTTCTTGATGCATAATGCGTCTTGCTCGCATTTCTCAGGAAAGAGCCAGTGTTTTTGTTTTTCTTATTCGATTTAATAAGTCATTATATATAATGCATTGAATTATATATAATGCATTGAATTGTCATTATGTATAATGACACAGGCTTTATACTTTGGTATATAATGTATTTACTTTACATATCATGTAATTATATTTAATGTGTATATTGACGTGATCAGTAATGGATATCCCGCCAGTGGGGGGTCTTTCCTTGATCAATTTCTGGTAATCGTGGATGCTGTTTTAGATTTTAAAAAACAGGCAGTTTTCTAATATAAACCTGATGTCACACAGTGTTTGAGGATGAAATATTTCTGAGTGTCTTTTGAAGTTTTGTGACATGTGTTGGGGTTATATTCAGTTTTATTCTGTTAGCCATGGCTAAGAGACCTTACTTCAAAACTTAAAAAGTTGTCCAAAATCACCGGACACTCCACCTTTCCAACTAACTGAAAGACAGTTTGTGAAAATTTACATTGACGGAGGAGGTGATAAAGGTAGGAGAAGATGTGTTGTGTGCGCTAAAACCAAAGGAAAGTGAAAGTAAACAACGTATTTTTAGTGCAAAATATACAATATAGGACTGTGTTTCGATCCTTGTTTTGAATTATTTCACACACAGCAGAATTTTTAAACTTGTTTTTAGAATTTTAAATTTAATTACCTACAGGTAATTGTTGTTTAATTTTTTTTTAATTTCATATTTGTAAATTTTTTTTTCATGCTTATAGTATTTATTTCTGTGTGTATAGTTATGATTTTAGTATTTTGTCTGTTTAATTTATTTCTATTAATGTTATATTCTTTATACACATTAAAAACAAGTACATTAAATACACAACTTCAAAAATTGAAGTCATAATATCAAAATGTTGATTTTATACGATTTTTGTAAAATTAGGCTTAACTGCTGAAAATGTGCAGGCCAGTGGCGACAAACCATTTCAGAGGGTCCGGTCCTATGACTGCGCTTCGTTCTCCCAGCACTGGACGTTAAGGGGTTAAATATGCAATAAAAATTCAAATTTTTTCCTTTGTCTGCACTATTTGTATCCAAGAGATCTTGATGAGTTGTATATGTAACAGTTGTGTTACGAAACTTTTGTACATATCTAATTTGTAAAGATATAAGTAAGTGTTGTATTTTAGTTTATAAAGTGCAGTGATTTTAAGGTCTGTCAAAGCATTTCACATTTGCAGCTTTTTATTCAGAAATTATATCAAAAGACATCAGAGTACAGGATAATTCTAGTGAATTTATGGTAAATTTTTTTCCATTTCTCAGTGTTCTGAATATGACTAGAGTAGTAGTTCGGTTTTATTATGAGAAAAGGGAAAAATTGGCAGGGATGTTATAAGTAAATCATGAAATTTCAAGAATCGTTCATAGACTAAGAGTTACATTAACAAATTAGCAAAAATTTTCCACCTAAGGATTTCTGTTAGCTTTTTTTCTCAAGTGCAGAGTGATAATACTAGTAATTAATGATAATACTAGTAATTAATGATAATACTAGTAATTAATGATAATACTAGTGATGTTCATGAATTAATTTAAAATTTTATATGGCTATTATTTAAATTAAACAGTTATTTCTGATTTCAACCTTTACTCTAAGTTCTCTTTTCCATTTTCCTCACCAGAATATAAATGAGATAGCTGGTATTTAAACTTAGGTTTCTTGAGTTTTAAGACAGAGCTTGTTTCTGGCCCATGCATGCATGCTATGCTTAGTTTCTGCCAGTTTTAATTATTTGGCTTTATATGTTACATCATTGCTAAATCCTTGATTTTGACACTGAGGTTAAAATTACTGAACCAGCATAGAATAAAATTTACTTGTGTAGTGGTTAACTACTGTTCCACATTTTAACTTGGAATTGACTGTTCTGTTTAGTTGCATTACCACAAGCTGTGGCTGATATTATTAGCCCAAGAAAGTGCATTTATGTTCTGAATTCTGTTTAAAATAAAAATGTTAAAACCTTTTTATGAAGTTACTTCAGACCTAACGATAATTTGCTTTATGTCTGATGGGGTTATTAGTTTCAGATCAAATAAAACCCCTCAACTTATGGAAGAATTTGATTTATATTATTTCAGAAAAGACCTTGAAGTTCTTAAAATTATTTATATAAATTCATATTTTGATTTTAAATTAATCCAAAACATTGTTTAGTTTTCTTCCTGTTTTGGAGATGGGAAAAAACTGACAGGATTATTGAGAACATGTATGTTTTTTACATTTCATACTCATTGTAGGCATTACTAAAGATGTGCAGTACTAACGATTATTTACAAAAATATTGTTTAAGCCTTTAATAAATTTGGACATAGGATATATATTTTTTCTTTTTCTTTTTTTCAAAATAGTAAAATATGGGCTTTATTAACGTACGTTCTTTTCACCTTAAAAATGGTTAGAATTTTCGCAGATCTTGCAGATGACTGAAATCTGTGTGAATGCTTCAGTAATAATTTGATGTTAGTTATTTCTAACTGTAAGTTCTGTTAAGTGAATTACTGGTGTCTATTCTGGAGTGAAATAGATGCTGTACTGATGATTTTTTATAGTGCTTCTTATCTTGCTTTAATTAGTTACTAATACATTTTGCTTAGTCAATCTGATTAATTACTTGGGATACATCTGAGAAACTCTTTTATATGTAATTGATGCTAATGATAAAAACCTTACAAGAAATTTGTAAAAACTAGATTTTGTTCACTTGTGTATTGAATAGTATTTACAAAGTTCATGACATCAACAGTTCTAGAAATATTTAGTAAAAGTCTGTTAAATTAAATATGTGTATATGTGAACTATGCATTATAATTCTGTTATTTGTTATTTCAGGTGAGTCTGAAAATATGGTCAATTACTTCTGAGACATGTGTGGAGATTGAGAGTCCTAAACCTATTGAAAACTGTTTTGCATTTTCATCCTGTGGGAAATATTTTATTGTAGCTAATAGGCCAAAATTGAAAGATTATCTTTCTGTATATGCCTGTGACACATGGCAAATAATAAAGGTCTGAGATATATTAATTTTCAAATTTAAAAAAAAAAAAGTGGAATGCCTAAAAATTTAATGCATGCACTAAGATATTGTTTAATAAGAACACAGAATGGTGATTTTTTTTATTATGTGCTAACTATTTAGGTCTTATATCTCATCTTATGCTTAAGAATCCATTCTTCACTTCATTTATATTTTATATTTCAGACGTTGCTTCCATTATTATGTTGTTGAAAGAATTTGTTTTAAATGCAGGTATTTCCTAAATATTCTGCATGTTATAATCTTGAAGATGTATACAGTTTCTAGAATTTCAGAAGCCAAAACATTTCATACAATTCCTTGAATATTCAAGTTACTGGAAGTGGATACATTGATCCACTTCCAATTTGTTAAACCTTAGGAAAACATATAATTCAAAGCAATGTCAACTCTTTTAATCACATGGATTTTCTATTAAAGGCTGTTGGATTTCTGCATAGCTTCTAAAATGGCTGTTTAATTTTTTTAGTTCTTCATTTTCAACATATAATTTTCATTTAAAGCAGCAGATTACATAGCTTCGCTAGTAAACTGCTCATGGGATCAATAAATGCACTGTTCTTTCACTCATCAATTTATTAAAAATTTTCCATTACCATTTTTTCTTCTACTAGGAAAGATTTGAAATATCTTTATAATATTATTTTCATTTATTTTCAGTGTGCTGTTTTCCTTATTTTACCATGATCTACTTGTGTGAGTGAGATTTTTGACAATATGTGTATTGATTGTGCATGTGTATGTATATGTGTATGTATATATATGTGTGTGTGTGATGAAAACAAATTTTTAGAAGTACCGATGTAGGAACACTGGGTCATAGAAACAGAGAAATACTGATTGTGCAACACGTAGAGGGCATATTGAAGAGGAAGAATTTTGATTGCGTTGAATGCTAATGCATAACGAATAGGGAACTTGATAGTTGAGGCAGATTAAATTTCATTTTTATTTAATTTTATATTTGTGGCCACAATTCACCTGGCAGTCTAATCATGCCTATTTCCAGAACATTTACATTTTTGAATACTATTGCAATAGGAAGATAGCACAGTGAAATTGCAACCAATCAGCAGCAGATATACAATTGAAGTGTGCATTTAATCCAGTTTGGCCATCTGTTTAGAGAAAGGTTTTGGTTTAGGATAGCAAGGTTTCAGCTCTCAGAGTGAAGGTTCTGAAATACCTACGTCAGCAGCATTACACAAACTCTGTGTCATAGATTAATCTAGAAATGGCGCTGTCCAGAAATGTTATTTTTAGAATAAAGAGATGAAATATCCAAATTAAAAATGAGGAATTAAGAGCCTATTATTAAATTTAATTATAAAGCTCATTTACACATTTTTTATCTTACAGATACATATATATATATATTGCATTGCTTTGTATTTAGAAGTGTCTGGGAAATGTGTTTGCTTTTGTTTTGCCACCACAGTTCTACTGACAGCCCTCTGTGCACTAGTCTTTCTTTCTTTTTTCCTTGCTTTTATATTGATGTCATTATTGGTGATCTGTGTTGTGTTTTAAGGTTGTTGTCATCACTAAAAATGTGTAAGATAGTTGAAGAACCTGCTGACTGTGAGATGTGGTCTGTAATTTGCTTCTTCAGTGCAAGGAGCATGAAACATGCTGAAATTTATCATCAAATTACTAAGATGGTGACTGACAGTATGTGAGAAAATAGGATAGAACATGCAAGGAAGTACAAACAAATGTACATGACAAAGCATGAGCAGATGGCCTGCTCAACGATATGGTATAACGATTGGTATGCAAGTTGATGAAAAACTTTGAAGGAACAGATGCTCTACAATGTAGACACTTTTTGGTGAATTTCTTGAAATATCAAAAGCTGTTTGCATGGAATTTTTCCCACTGCTTAGGTTACCGTAAATTGCGTGTCCGTTAGATATAAAAAATGTTTATAGGTGTCCACAAAACCAAGCGGCTTAGCAATGCTTTGACGTTTCCAATGCAATATAGTGATGAGGGAGAGGCATTCTTAAGCCAATTAATGACTGGTGAAGAAACTTGGGCTCCAAAATTGAAACAGCAATTGACACAGTAATCTCCCAAAAGGCAAAAATTCAAGATATCAATGTCAACCTAAAAAGTAATGTACACCATGTTTTGGGATATGAATTCGACTTATTGAATTCTTAGATGTGAAACCATCAATGCTGCTCGATACTGTGAGACTTTGATAAAACTTTGTTGTGCTATTCAAAATGAAAGGGAGAATAATGCTTAGTCAAGGAATTGTTTTGTTTTACTATGATGCTTGGCCTCAAGCTACTGGTGTCACTCAAAGGCAAACTGAAGAATTTGGTTGGAAGCAGTTTGATCATTCCTCCTACAGCTGAGATCTTACAGAATTAATGCTTGTCATACGGTGCCATATCTGGCTCCATCTGGCATCATCTAATCTGAGATAAATCACATGACGAGTATATAATAGACGAGAATCTTAAAAAGAATAAATTAAATAATTCTGTAAAACTTAATTGAATAACTCATGATTATATTTTGTCTAATAATAGTTAAAATTATGTTTAATATATGGTAAAGGAATTTGATAAAGACTTTTTTTTCATACAATGCATAGATTATCCACGTAAATACTATTTTATCTGACAAAGGCCTAGAAAATGAGTGCATAGGTTATTCAATTAAGTTTGAGAGCATAAGTTATTCAATTAAGTCTACTTCATACTGAGATGCCAAAATATTAATTATTCCATTTTGCATATGCCACAATAACCCACCTCTCGTGATGACATAGCAACCACCAAATGTTGTTACATTTCGTGACAGATCCTTATGTAGTCCCATCATCCATACCCTTATATAGTCTTCTTTGCATACAGATATTTCATTTGGTCAAAAGTTGTGAAAATATGATTTATCCTGTCATGATACTCAGCTCTAATTATCCATGATCCAGTGGTATTTTCTGGCTTTGCTGCTGACTTTCAAATTCCAGATGCTGATAAACTACCTTCACTGATATTAAGTTGGCATGTGATTTAACATCACATTCCCTTCTTTGAATAAATGCCATCTTTTTTAGTCACAGGCAGTCCCATTCTTGCATATGTGTGAATGTTTATTGTTTTGACATGCTGATGCTTTTCCTCTGTAGGTGCTTTACTCTTGCTAATATTGGCTATGAAATTGAATTTTCTTTGTTTCAGAGACAGAGCCTTATATTTCTGGCTATTACAATCAAATCATAATAAGGTCCACATTTAATTTCACTTTTTGAGGTGCTGAAATTGTTATTCAGTTACTGCGTACTGACACTGCGTACTTTTTTAAAAATCAAAATAGGTTCAAAAATTGCGTATATTTTTTATTACATATTTCAGATATACATATATTTTAGAGTTAAAATATACAAAAATTTTTTGTAAAAGATTTTTTTTTTTTTTTTTTTTTTTTCCAAATATAGAATTAGATTATAGAAAAAGCTTGTCAGAATACTGAAATTGAAGAACAATCATATAAAAGGAGAATTTTGAAAATTAATATTGGTTAAATTATGATTTATTTTATAAAATATAAAAGTAAAACATATATACTAATGAAAACATTTGCATAATGTAATATTTTCACAAGAAAAAATTTTAATAAATTTATGTATAAAATTTATTAAAATTGTAAATAGAATTCGAGTTCAAGAGTATTTTTTTTTTCAATGCATTTTCAAAATTAAATTTATTTATCTGTACATTTTATTTAGCAGAGGCTATTAAATATGTTTTTTCCCTTCATTTTTCTTCATTCACTAAGATTTTTATTCACCATTCTGTTTGGTTTTAGAATTTTCCTGTTGATACCAAAGATCTTTCATCTATTCAGCTTTCTTCTGTTGATCTAGTCATTGGTGTCATAGATGCATTAGTTGAAGTATGTAGTATATATCTTGTTCATAAAAATTCTCTGTAGTTAAATTTTAAATGCTAATATAATTCAATGATAGAATATGTTTGTGTTGCTATAATAATACTTAGTGCCCTCTTAATTTCTTTTGTAAGATAATACTATATAATTCCGAGAATGAATGCCTAAGCTAATGACATGATTGTGCTTAAGTCATATGCTTTTTCATGTTGGAATATATGTAAATATAAAAATTAAGCTGATTTAGGAAGATGTTAGGTATTAGACAGAAAATATATGCCTGTGTACTTTGGCATAAAAATGGATGATAAAAATTTAGAGTACCATATTAACATTAAATATTTTGTCAAAATTGAAAACATAATTATTAAAAAGTTAGATCTATTGAAAAAGGGAGAGGTGATGAAAATGACATAAACAAATATGAGTGTGCATAAGGAATTCAAAAATAGTTGAAATATTGTGCTGGATGACCCCAGAAGCAGACAGCCAAAAATATGTTAGTAGACAGACAGATGTTAGTAATAATGAAATGTGGAATTCAATATGGTCCAACAAATGATTTAGTATGACATTAATAAATGAAGAATAACAAATCAATCAAGAAAAATTTAGGCTAATAAGATGTAGATTTGGGCGTAAGAAAGATTTCTCTGGAACTCTCTCACATAGTTAAGTTTTTACAAAACTATGATTGTGTTCTTGTGTCTCAAAAACACAACCACAGTACATTCTTTATGGGACAGTTTTAGGGCAGAAAAGTGATTATCTATTTAGGTCATTCTGCTGCTCCAATTAATTGTCTTAGTTTCTTATGATTTTTGGCTACTGCTAAAAGTTGAGCTAAAAGGACAAAGATTTTAGTTAACTGATATGCAACAGAAATGTGAGATTATTAGTATTTCAGAAAATGAGTTCCAAAGGCACAAAGGGTGTATTTTAAAAATGACACCATCCACCAGTGCTATATTCCAATCACATTTTTTAAAAATTCATTCTGGGAATTAAATTTTGCACTTTCTGTGATTAAAAATATGTAATTTCTGTTTTGATTGCTTTTTCAGAAGAAAATAACTGTCTAGATATTAAAAGTGTACTTCCTTATTATTATAGCACTTATCTGTTAAATGGTGCGAAGATTATCAGCAAGCTCATTCATCACTTCTCACTTACATTTTGTAGCCATAACATTTCTTCGATTGCTTTTAATGTAGTATTAGAAACATTTTCTTCTTTCAAGGACTTCTGCCTTATGAATTCTGCAAGGCAAGATTCAATATATGATACATGCCTCATAGCCTTTTTATTCTACTGCTTAGCAGAGTTTCAGTCTTTCCATATTTTGTGTATGAGTGGTTAATGTTGGATCAAGAAAAGAGCATGGTTTATGGTTTACTGTAAAATGTCTCTAACTTGCTTTTTCCAGATTGATAATCTTGTTAGCAGTCTGAATAAATCATTGATCCGTCTTATATGTAGTTCATGATTTTTGCCACAAGTATGGTTGCCTCTCTGTTCGGAACTTGAATTGGAAAGAGTTTCTCATTTTCTCAGCATAGTCTGCCAAATATCTAGTTGTGGAAGAACACAGTTATTGCACTTTGTTTATTTTGCTGGGTGAATAAACAGATTTTTGTCTACAGCCATAATTTTTGTAAGACTACCTATTCGCTTATTTGTTTGTTCGATTAGATATATGGAACACACCTCTCTTAAAATTCAGTGAGTAGTTGTATTTTCACAAAGACTAAGTGGCTTCTTGCACTATAGATGTTCGAAATCGCTCTTTATATGATCGGATCGGAACCATTTTCTCACTGAAATGAGTCTGTTCCTTTTTATGACTCACTGCCTACTAATAATAAACTTGAAGGGGAAAAAAAAAAAAAAAAAAAAAAAAAAAAAAACAGAATGAGGGTGAATCAAGAGTGGTTAGTCAGAATGGAGTGAAGAGAGGAAGAATCTAATGAGCAATTGGATCAGGACTGGTTAGTGAGGCTGTAGCAAAGATGGAAAAAACTGAGCGAGTTGTGGGATCGGAAAAATCAATTCAATCAATAGCTAACTCTCTGAACTGTTTTGAGTTCCTTAAAAACTTCTTTTTGCACAGAGCTAATAGTAAAATTCTTGAATAAAAATTTTTCAAAAAGATGGAAAATTATAATAAATTATTTTATTTTTAACATGAAGCATAAACACTCTTCTCTTCTCTAAAATAGAAAGTTAGCATGCTTTAACTTCCTTTTGCTGTTTTTCACCAATCGGGCATTCATTGCTTAGCAAAGTGAATCAGTTCATAAATGAATAGCAGATTTCTATTTCTGGCATGCTTACAAGAAAAGATGTCTGTGAACTATAAAACAACTATAACTCCATTTTCTGGAACTAAGTAAATTTACTCAATAACATGAGTCTTTTTTTTTTTTTTTAAATCAGTTTTGGAGCAGAGCTTTGAATTTATCTGATGCTTCATCATGTTATTTCCTCTTCCTAAAGTAAATAAATTGCAACACTGTTACAAAGAGTATTCTGGAACCACTGAACCATGTATTAAAACCTATGCCTATATTTTGCATTACTTTTCAGGTTGAAGTTCTTTCATTGATCATAGTTTTTCATTTCATAGCCATTTTTATATACAGGTAACCCTCTTATAACATGGTAGATAGATTCCTAGAGAAAATGTCATGTTGTGTGAAACTGTGTTATACGAGACCCACAGCCAGTACAAAAATGGGGGGTATGTTCCAAAAATTTATTAAAAACATTTTTTAAATTCTACATAAACAACTCATTTTTATTAAAAATATAAATATATGTACAACACAACATTTTTTAAATTTTAACACAAATTTCATTTAATAAATTTTTTCATTGTCGCTGTTCAGTATAATCAATCGAGAACTTTTTTCCAGTTGAATGATATCACGTTCATTTTCAGAACTTTATTCTTCATTTAAAGTTCTTGCATCTTCTTCCCTCCTTTATAAAGTTTGTAATTTAACTTTTCTTGCTGGTTTTTACCAGGTCATTGTAAATTTCTCAGTATGTAGCTAGACAGTTTTGGCTCCTTCTTTTGAATTTTTGGCTTCTTTCAGTGGAAGGATCTGCATTCAAGAAAAATGACATGAGATTTTCAGCTTAGGTCTTCTTTTAATTTTTTTTTTAATGTTAAATGTACAATTTTCATCAAACTGCACATAAATTGCACAATTTTCATCAGGTCCTCGAATCTTTGCTAGTGTCCTGTGAATTCTAATATGCCACCAATTTCATTTTCTGACGATTTACGCATGTTTTCTATTCAACTGAAGAGGGCCATATCTTCTTCCAAGATGCATTTATCATTGAAGTTTTCAGTTCTAGCAGCAACAAAGATATGACATCAATACAGTGCTTGACTGAAAATTTCTTCCAAGCCTCCATTAAATTAATTTATTTTGAATCAGTTATGTTTAAAATCTACTGCGATGCTGTTCTTATGTAATACATTTTAAAGGTATAAAGGTATTTTAAAGGTCTTGGTCTAGAACGGAGAAGGCAGTTAACCGTCATAAAAACACCCTTGCAGTTAAATTCGAAAAACTCCTTTTACAGTCTTCCAGTTCAAGTAGTTCAAAAAATCTTCCCATTGTAAACATCAAGCCAATAGTTAATATTTCTAATGTTAGTCTTTCAGAAGAACAAGAGAGAATTCTAAAATAAATTTTAACTTCTCACAAACCTGTAAACCCTCGATTCCAAAGATTTTGGCTCCTATCGAAAAGGCTTTCAAGTTCAGTAAAGTTTCAGATTCACAGAAAGAAATGATTAGGCATCTTATCGCTCATAATGTGAAATTCAATAATAAACATTTGAAACCAAATCTAACTGCGAGAGAAAGAGCTACAATGCGCGAAATTCATTCTAACCCGGATATTATCATTTCAAAGGCCGACAAAGGGGGCCAGATAGTCGTTATGGACAAGAACACTTACATCGATGGTGTCACTAAACTCTTAAACGAAGGACCATATAATCTGATCCCTAAAGATCCTTCACTTTCCGACTTGTCAAAAATAAAAACTGTGATCAAATCTTCGCAAATCGTTTCAAGCAACTTAAAACATTCGCTTATCCCATCTGTTGCGAATTGTGCCAGATTATATGCTCTTCCCAAAATTCATAAAAGTGGTATTCCTTTCCGCCCTATTGTATCAAATTTAGGTACTGCCTCGTATCCATTAGCTAAATATTTGGTTTCTAGATTTTCCACTCTCTTAGACAATAACATTTACACCATAAAAAATAAAATTCAATAGAGTTTTTAAAAAAGGTTAAAAACATTTCTCCTAGTAATTTACTCATGGTTTCTTTTGATGTAAAATCATTATTCACCAATGTTCCGGTGGAGGTTGCATTAAGATGTCTAGAAACCAGACTTTGCGAATTTCATTTCTCTTGCATCGAAATTGATGAGCTAATTTCACTCACTCAACTCTGTTTGAAACAAACACATTTTGTTTTCCAAAATAAATATTACAAGCAAACTGAGGGATTAGCCAGGATGAGGGGAAGCCCCCTCAGTCCCATCCTGGCTGATATCTACATGCATTATTATGAATCAAAATTGGTTGAAACTTTAAACTTCCTGGCATGGTTCCGCTACGTAGACGATACTTTTACCCTGTTTGAAGGTAATAAAGATGATTTAAATAAAGTTCTTTCAACAATGAATTCTATTGATCCTGCTATTCAGTTCACTTTTGAACTTGAGACTTGCAGTTCTCTTCCGTTTCTCGACATTCTGGTCACACGTAACACATCCAACTTCAGTACTACAGTTTACTGTAAACCTTCATCGGTTTGCCTTCCACCACAGTTTAAATCATGTCATCCAGACTAAACAAAAGTTAGCTTCATTTTATTCCTATGTTTTCCGTGCTCTTCAAGTTTGCTCCTCCAAACTAGCCCTTGATGAAGAACTAAATTATTTAAAAGCAATAGCTATTGACAGGGGCTTTTTCACCCAACATTATTAATCAAGCAGTTAAAAAATTCTCATCTCAACACACACTAAAAGGCACACTCTTGTTTTAGGAGATTATAAAAATTCTGTTGTCATTCCCTTCTTTCCATCAATTAGCTATAATGTTACACATATTTTGCAGAAATTTAACTTTCGGGTTGTTTATTCTCCCATCAATAAAATTCCGAGTTCCATACTTAAGGACCCCATTCCGGATATGAATTCCTGGGGTATTTATAGGATTCCTTGCCAGTGTGGTTTAATTTACTTTGGCCAAACTAAGAGAGCCTTAAAATTTCACGTCAAGGAACATGAGGCATATGTTAGAAAAAAGGAAACACAGAAGTCTTCTGTTGCTCAACATTGTTGGTCCGAAAATCACACTTTCAATTTTTCTGCTGCCAAAATTATTCAAAAAACATCTTCCATTGGAGAACTGGATTTTCTAGAGGCATTTCACATTCATAAAAATCTTTCTGTTCTAGTTAACGATTCTAATTCCAATCCAAATTTGCCTTCGGCCTTTAAAGAAATTATGTCTTAGTTCTGGTTTCACCAACAGATGGTGCCACTTGCTTATTCTTGTCCAGGCTTTCTTATCTTATCTAATCATTTTTTCCTATCTTGTTCATTTGCGGTTTTGCAGCTGAGGATGGTGGTTCGGTAAAACCATCGAAACTAGTCCTGTGGAAATTTTGTAAATATAACGCTGATTTTTGTTGTTTGTCTTCTGAATTAGTATTTATTTGGCGTGTCATTGTGTCTTAATACCAATAAGGTATTCTTTATTTATGCCTTTAAGTGCACAAGAATTTAAAGATCTATAAACTAGTAAAGGTTTTGTCATAAAGTTTCCTTGATTCATTACTGCACAAAAGTAGCATTAGATGATCTTTAGATATCTTAAATCCAGGTGCAGTTTTTCCTTTTTCGATATAAAGGTTCTATTGGGCATTTTTTTCCCATCAAAGCTCAGTTTCATCAACACTGGAAACTTGAACTGCTGTGTATCCTTTCTGTTTTGTACTGTTTTGAATTTTTCTGGATACGTTCTAGCAGCTTCATGATCAGCTGATGCAGAATCTCCTTGAATTCTTATGCTATGAATTGCAAAATGTTTTTTGAAATTTTCGATCCAACCTTTACTTGCCTCAAAATCTGGGTTGACAGAGGATTCTCCATGTTCTTTAAGGTGTTTGTAAATTTTGACTACTCTTTGTTTAATGACATTACTGTCCCATCAGGAAATTCCAAAACTTGTAATTAAATAAATTTCATTTACCTGACAGGTCTTTCATTTCTGCCAGCATTGTTCTGAATCACGAGTCACATTACGATCCTTTTAGATACTCACATTTTATTAACACAATATTTAAAATACGGTAAAAAAACTTGAACATTGCATTACTGTCAAGAAATAATTGCAGCTTTCTGTTATAACGGAAAGCAATAAATTAGCTGCTCAGCGAAGTAAGTTCTGATTACAGTCTGCACTGTCTGTTGCATAGAAACGAGCCTTAACCCATTTTTTGTAGGTGTGTCTTGGAGGTTTACTTTTCAGTTTGCCATCTTAGCGTATTTGAAGATGAGTTGGTGATATTCATGTTTTGTTTTAGTTTCAAGTAAAATGCTTGTTGACCCTTTGTTGTTGACCCTCGATATCCAATTTCCGAAAATGAAAATTAAAAGGTGTAGATAAAGCTTTTGCAGCCTGAAATTGTTTTTGATTTTGCTGCGTGAGGTAGTCACTGAATTTACCATCCCTCTAGATCAGGGGCAGGCAGACTTTTTCAGGATATAGGCTACTTCTAATTTTTTCAAAGTGTTGCGTTCCACTCAGTAGCGTATGTTTGGTGAGGTAAAGAAAAATAGAGATTCACACAGGTAGGTAGAGCCAAAGAACTATGTTAAATGAAATGCAACTTTTTTAAAATTAGGATACTTTTCTTCGTCCATTAGATTCTAAAATTTATTCTTAGATTCTGAACTACATGCTTTTAAAATAATGTCATTTTGAAGGAGGAAAACTTTGTTTTTCTCAAGAGATAAAAAGAATACATAATTTATGTTTTCAGTTATTTCGTCCACATCAACACTGCCAAATGGGTAACACATGAATGTAACAATTGTTTCTAGTGTAGTAAATTCTTGAAAACGTCTCTCAAATTCGGAGTGAAGTTTTAGTATTTCATCAGAATATTTCTCTTTGTTTAATGTACCTCCTTTTTAAACAGCTAGTCAAAAATATTTTTGAAATTTTTTAGTTCATCCTTCATCAACTGGGAAGATATTACATAAAGAAACGTTTACATAAAGAACAAGAAAACTGTGATTTACAATTATTAAGCTCATGTTTTCCCAAACAATTAAAACAATGATTATTTTTCTTAATTAGTTCAACTCTTTCAGAAACAGGCAATGATATGTACTTTTTACATTTATGTAAAGGACGATTTTTGGAACATAAAATGCACATGGGTTGGTACTGAAACTTATGTCTTAAAAGACAAAAAATTTATTCTTTAACACACACAGTGGCTCAATGCAGATTGCTGACCAGCAGCATGAGACATTTTTGTTTTCAGGTCACAGAGATGAAGATTTGAATGATGAAAGCCAAATGTGTAGTTTGTGCATTTTGCAGATCTTATTGTGACCTCATGTTGTTTACTTTCTTCATTGATTTCATAAGATTTCTTCATTGTTATTTGGTGATTGTGCTCTCTTGAGACTGAAGGTCATGGAGAGAAGCAATTTTCTCCCATTACCCGTTAAGAGTTCAATCGACGCATTCACCATATGGCTCGTATCTCAAGGACATTTATTCTTACCGGAACCAGATCTTGGAAGACAACTGGCAGGACGTACTGAACAAGAATTCTTATATGTTAAGTGCTTTGTTCAATATGGAAAAATTTTGTGCGGAATTTGTTCTTAGGATTTCGTGAGAAATCTTCTTTTCATGTTGGAGCTAAACCATGTTATATGATGCAGTATTGTAGGAGGGTTCCTGCAATTTATGAATCAGGTTATAGCAAAACCATGTTACAAGTTGCCATATTAAATCTGAGGTAAAATGCATCTGTTTTGGAAAAAAGATATTGCACCTTCCTTACTCCTCGGCAAGGAAAAAATTGTTAACATTAAAAAAAAAAGTGTTAACACCCAGAGTGAGAACTGTTTTCATAATGAATTATCTTTAAGTGATTCTGAATTGTTAACGTTTATGTGAATGATAACACATGGCTTAATCAGACCTCTTTTTATGGCAAGTGAACTGCAAGTCATTGTGGTTAGCGCTGTCAGTTGTTTGATAATAATTTGAGATATATGTTGCTCATATATTGATAATTTTGGGCTCCGTTTAAAAAAATGTGGGCTGCAATAATAAGGAAATACATTTAAAATTATAATTTTGTAATTTTGTTTTTTTTTCTTCAGTATAAAATATTATTTTATTCTATTGATGGGAGGCTGTTAGGAAAATACACAAAAGAAGGACATATAGGACCATATTCACTTTCTTGGAACCCAACAGGAAAACTTGTTGCTGTAGGAGATATTGGAGGTGTAAGTTAAAAGCCTAATATTTTAGATTTTGTTTGTGTCAATGCTGTTACTAATGTTATACATATTAACATCTTTGATAAGCAATTAATTCCTATTTATTTTAGGTTTAAGTATTTGTAAAAATGTTTTTAGATGAATAAGTATAACAGTTTTATACTTTATTTGTTTTCTTTGCAATTTGTAAGAAACTGGCAATAATTTCACATCGAATATGATGATTAATATATTTGGAGAAAATTTACCCATTTGTTTATAGTTTAAGAGCTATATTTATAATTAGAAATCTTTGCTGAAATGAATGGTGATAGTATATGGCTCTTGTAAAGTTTATTACAAATTTAAATATATATGTATATAATATATTTATTAATAATCCATTTTAAATTAGTCATGCGATATAATTTGTTTTATAATATTTGGTTGAGTATGGGTGTAATTATTGTAGTATAGAAATTTATACAGTCAAAAGTCGTTAATGTGGACTCATCGGGACTTCAGCGATTCCGGATTATCGATTTTTCCGGATTATAGATCATCAGTTTAAATCTGGTAAGATGGCATGCAGAAATTACAAAATTAAAAATATGAAATCGTAATTTATGAAATAAAGAACAATTATGACCTAAAGGGTATCAAAATTTACAAAAAGAAAAAGCTTAATATTTATTTGTTTACTTTATTAAACATTTCTTTCAATGTAAGTTGTTTAAGTTGCTTCGTTTCATGTGATAATACTTTTTCTTTAATTCTATTAAACAGACATAATTTCTTGTTTAGTTACAAAGTTCCGCTGTTCAAGTCCTATAATTGCTGTGTCGAGAATACCGACTAATTTGTCAATCGAAATGTTTTCGTTTTCAATAACCTCTGGGTCACTTTCTTCACTATCGGAAGCAAATCATAATGACGAGGAACTTGATTTAAATCATATCAAACACGGAGTACATCGAGATGAAATGCTACATTTAGTAAGGAATTATAAGGCAAATAAAATAAAAACATCTGCCCTGAAGATAAGGATAGTGCTGACAGATCAACTTCCAATTCATTGCGCGCCGCTTGCGTTTCTCCCCTGCCCCCTGCCCGCAGAGCAGCGTGAAATTGATTTCGGATTTCAAAACATACTTTCGCTTTGTAGATCCTTTACATATTGGTAAATATATATCGGAAATTCTACTTGACATAATCGAAAGTTCAAGCTTACTTTTATAAAATTGCTCTAACAGTCTGCAAAAAATAATAAGCCGGATCCAATTCGAAGATTAAGGAACAACGCAATCTGCAACATTAACTGAATTAGATAATTTAGCTTAGCTTATACCGTCCGTTTTACATTAAACGTGCATGCGTAAACATATTATGCGCTTGCGCACATGCATAGTCGCAGCCGTAAAGGTAATACTCGCACGCGTAAATGCCTATGCGCAGAAAGTTTGTAGCTTTGAGGTCCGGATTATAGATCATTCCGAATTATGGGTGTCCGAATTAACGACTTTTCACTGTATTCTATTTTGTATTTATTTATTTTTAATTTTTGCTCAAAGAATCAGTTGAATGAAACATAAGAAGTTCAGAATCCCTTAATTGTTCGGCTTTTGATAGTTCAAATTATTACCTCCTGATCAGTCAGTGAGGCATTCAAATTTAAATAATTAAATTACTTCTAGTTTTAAAAAGTTAAAAAAATTTTTAGTTTTAATTTTAATTTTTCTAAAATTGTTTATAAAAATGTTTTCTAAATTTCAATCTCATTAGTTATCATTTTGTTTTGTTTAAATTTAATAGTTTTTCATGATTTTCAAATTAAATTAATATAAATTCTTAAAAATTTTTTTCTGTGTAATATCTTTTTTCTGTTTTTAAGTTTATTATTTATAGTATTATATATGTAATAACTTGGCAAAGTTAGTCATGTCATAAATGAATGCACAGAGAAGCAGAAAGTTGCAGACATGACCAAGTTTAATTATTTACTTTTTACTCATGATTTATTAAGCCAAGACAAGTAATATGGCTGTTACAGCGGCCTGTTCTGAAAGAATTTTCGCATCAATACTGATAGATTTGTGAAAGATGTCTTTTCAAGACAGCAAGCAGCAACAAGTTAAGGAGCAAAGTGGAGGGCATAAGGGATACATTCAGAACAAATGTGGGAAAATGAGTCAAAACGTTTTGATTCTTAATTGAAATCTTATTCAGTGTTTGGATAAAAGATATCTGCAGTGCCGTATTATGTAAGGTAATATAATGCAGATTAATTTTGAAATGATGCAATTTGGATTGATGTATTTATTATAAACAGTCACCAATTTTAGGACAGAAAGAGAAAATACCTTAAGAGAATTTGCTTATTATGTTAAATTTCTGAAAAACTAAGGTACAGATTTTAATGAAATTTGGTATTAATATACATTTATAATAGAGAAAGAGATGTACCATTTAAAAGTCACTTTATGTATGCATGATCATCAGTAAAGTTCATAGTGCAAGGATGCCCAAAATCTATGCTGTAATACTGAACTGAGTCTAGTAAGGGGTATGGTCCCTTCTTACAGCCAGATAGGTCGCACCATGTGACTGCATACTGGACAGGAGGTAATTGAGGAGTTTCTGTGGCAGTCAATCCCAATCCTCACTTAAGCAATTTTCAACTCCAGGATGGCTCTCGAACAGGAATAGCAAGATGAGATTGCCCTACCACTAGCATCCCAGATATGCTGTATTGGGTTAAGGTCAGAAGATCTAGCTGCCCAATCTATGTGGCGAATATCCTGACTTTTCAGGTAATCATCAACCATTCAAAGAACCCCATGCGTACGAGTGTCGGCATCCAATAACAGGATTCTAGGACCAACTGCTCACCTGAAATGTTGAACATAGGGCTCTAAGATCTCTCTATACCTCATAGCAGTCAGGGAACCTTCGTCAAACACTTGCAGGGGTGTGTGGCCTTCCAACATGACTTCCAAACCACGACACCTCTGCCACTGTAATAATCCTTTCCCTGATGAGGGAGGGATGGTGTCATGGTTCAGACTCTCTCCAGATACAGGTACATTGAGAATCATAGTCCAAGCTAAATCTTGATTCATCTGTAAAAAGCACAGTGCTCCGCTGAAGAATGGCCAAGGCACACATTGTGTGCACAATCCTAAATGTGCCCGCTCGTGTACTTCAGTAAGCTGAACAGAAACAGTGGGCCTTCTGGTATACAGCTCTATCTCATCAAACCTTCGGGCAACTATAAACTGAGAAACTTGGGTTCCAGTAGCAGCATACAATTCACTTAAGAGCTGTGAAGCTGTGGCATTCCTATGTAACTGTGCTGAAAATTACCAAGTAATGACCCTCATTCATCAGTATGGATTTTGGCTGAACTTGTCCAGGTCTTCTGGATATGCATTGAGTGTCCTGAAACTATTTTCAGAAGTTGCAGATGACACTGGGCATTACATTGAGCTCTGTAGCCACCTGCGATTGGCCTGCCTCCAGTCTATCCACAATTCTTCATATTATTCAGTCATCCATATGTTCAGAGCCCACCAGTGGCCGAGCGGTAAAATTGTTGAACACTGGTAGTTCGGTCTGAGGTTCAAATCCCATGAACGGGCTGGCTGCATAAGCATTTTCGTGGTTTTCTCCATGTGTAACGTGTATACGAGCCAGTTCCCCATAGAAAGTCCTCCACAAAGGCATCCCTTTCCTTAGGCAGATAGCCCTAGTGTGCTTTGCCGTAATCTCAATAAACCAAACCAAACCATCCCTATGTTCATGGCTACTCATTTTACCTGATACCTTATAGAATTGACCCAACTCTTATATAGTATTAATCTAACATAGGTATTTTGACACAAAATCGGACTTTTTCTGAAATGACATGCTAATTTTTTTCCCATATTTCTATTCTACGACTCAAATTATGCCTAAATATTAAATTTTGTAAAATTTGGTACAAAATTTATGGAAAAATTAGAAACTTGGCGGATTTTTTTCAGTTTGCACCAGGAATAATTTGCTTGCCGAACTTCTTAATTTATAGCAACCTATTTTCTATTCCTGTTCTTAATTACAGAAGAGTGGTAAAAAAACGTAATCGTTCATACGTACTATTAATGTCAACAAAGTGTGTAAACCACATTTGGTGTTATTATCGCTCAAAAGAAAAAAAGATGCCAAATTCCAAAACGCTCCAATATGTAAATTTGTGTATATCTTAGCAAATTTTGAATAAAAATCTCTAATTTTTTGCAGGTGTGCATAGAAATACATCTATTTTAAGATGATGTTAAAAATTTTATTGGTTATAATATAATACAAATTTTTTCGAAAAAGGAATAAAAAATATCTAAAAATACAGATTTTAAAAATAAATCATAAAAAATGTGCGAATTATATTTGGATTAAGCGTAAATTTCGAATTCTGAATGAGTCAAGTAAATTCAATAGAGAAAGAGATATTAATAAATATATATCAAATTCAATTAACGTCGAGGAGCTAATTTTTAAAAACTGCTCGTGTGATTTTTACAAAACTTGGCACTTTGGCATAATTTGAGTTATAGAATCGAAATATGGGGGAAAAATGGCATGTCATTTTTGAAAAAGTTTCAATTTTATGTCAAAATACCTATATTAGAACAATGCTATATATAAATCCAATACATAGCCTAAGTCGCACTTTCAAGACATGAAAAATGCAAGTTGAATTTCATCAATCGGCCCAGTAGAGTGGGAGATACAGAACTTTCCCCCTTTTTTCTTACGCAGTGTACATGTACACTTATGTATTTGACTCTGAATATTTGCATAATTCTTTGGTGGTATAACTAGTACCTTTGATTCAGTACTTTTCATAAAAATTGAAATTATCTGCAGATTCCCTTAATTTTGCATTATTGATTGATATATTGCTTATTTTTAGATTCCTTTCCCCACATTTCCACCTGGTTTTTTAATTTTTAATCATGTTTATTTTGTGGAAGGCTATTTGTAAGACTATTAACTATAAATAAATATTATTTAAAAAATTTAACTGAATTTAACAAAATTTAATTGATTATGCATTCAAAAATTACAAAGTTCTGCCGCGAGGAAAAAATACTTTTACTAGCTTGTATATCCAAATTTTTAATTAATTAACAGAAATGTTTCATTTGAATATTTCTAGATAACGCTGCTTCAAAGTTTGGATTACAAGTTAAAAACATCCTGCCAGAATTTAACTGTTTTGGGATCTGAAAATATTGTGAGTAATGTTTTTGTTTGTATATGGAATAAATAGTAACTGAGTGATTTTAAAATTTGAAAATGAGAAAAGAATATCTATTTTTTTACCGGATATATTCTGTGTGACACACATATTTGAAGTTTAATGTATGCATAAATTTTAGGTATTGTACAACAAAAGTGAAAAATCTGATATGATGAATTCCTCAAACAAGTTTGCTTCAAGATGTGAAATATGTTAGTATTTGCTTCTAAACATTTTATATATTATAGATTAAGATATTGCTATTTACTTTGAAAAAAAACTTTGTTTAGGTATTTTTTTCATATTAAATATTGGCATTTCTGATTTAAAGCATTGTGTGTTGGAATCATGATTAGTCTTATTATTTATATTCTGGTTCTTATGCATGTGAATACTTTGGTTTTGTATTTTATGATTAAAAGTTGCTAAAAGTGGAACAAATGTGTATAATTTATAAATTATTTTCTCCCTCTTTTTTATACGCCTTCGGAGTGTAACTGGAAGCACACTCCATGCATATTCGAGAGGTCTGGAGTTCAAATCCCAGTGAGGGCTTTGCACATTTTTCACATTTTTTGCTTAAAAAAAAAAAAATCTAATGACTCTACAAGTGGTGCCCAAACTAAAAGGTGGTGCATGATAATTCATCACCATCAGGATATCAATGAGGATCCCCCATCCCCATTCATATTTAAAAAGTGGAGTATAAAAGTTGTTTTCGCCCTCTTTTCCATATGCAATTGGAAGTAGTGGTGTAATTGGAAGTACACTCGACTCGAATACGAGAGGTCCAAGGTTCAAGTCTTGGTGAGGGCATTGCATGTTTTTCAGGTCTGACTCTACTATGCATAGATAAAATGGAAAGTTTTATGCAGACATAAATGAAACACAGTATATCTGAAGTATGTAAGTATATTTTCTTTTAATATGTCCCATTACATTTGGTACTTTGTCCCATCAACTCAAACATTCATGAAAATAATGCTTCCATATGTTGGATGTATATTATTAAAATAAAGCTAAATAAAAGTGTAATGAGCTATTTTTATATCAGGAGCTATTTTTATATCAAAAGAGCTATTTTTATATCAGGAGGGGGAAATAACATTCCACACAATTTTTCGTAATTTAAGAGACATAATGCAGCCACAAAAGCATGGCCCATGTTCTAAGCCATGTGAGTTATTTATTTGATGTTTGAAGGGTAGGAATTCTCTCTGCATTGTCCATGCAACAGTTAGGAGAAAATGATCCAACTTTTTGTCATTTTTTCTAAGCCTTTTAACCCTTTATGGCATAGTGTGTCCGGTCTAGACACACCTAAAAATTTCCTTCCGTACACACAAAAAATTGAATGAAAAAGGATTTATAGGTTACTATAGATTACTCTGAAGCTTCTTTATTTATAGTAGATGGCAGCTCAATACAAACCAGTCCATATATTTTAGCCATGTTTAGTTTTTTAAGGCCCTCAATTTTCAAGGAAATGTTCCAGATTTTTTTTTAGGGTATAAAAGGAATTGTTTGAAAAGATATTTCTATGTTATTTTTTTTGGCTTTATGCTAATCTCTTTATTCTGTATTAGTTATAAATTTTTACCTTGAAAATGAAACGGCGAACTCTAGGTGTGCCCAGACCGGACCCACCGATAATCTAGGACAAGTGAAAGTCTGTATTCATTGTTTCTTTGCATCTCATCGGTCAGTTCATTGGCAACAATGCTCGTTTCAGCACTCTTTTTGTAGCTCTATTCAGTTAGTGTGCCCAGTTTGGGCACACCCACAGAATTAAACGATAAGTGCTATCTTCACAAAATTTTACTTGTGTACTCCTCTAGGCCTAACTACGACCTACCTTTTTTTTTTTTTAAATTAAAACTCCAACTTTAAAAAGTGCGTGCCGAAAAGGGTTAAGTACCATTCACGTAGGAATGAATCACAGATTTAGGATGATTAAAAAAAAAAAACGAATTTTTCAATACTGTTGACTCATGATTTTCTAACTTCTTGCATTGTAGATACGGGGAACTGACAATCATTAAACTATAAATCTTTCATCATCCTCAGCATGCGAAGTTTTAATAAACAGCATAGCTGTTGATTTAAACCAAAGCTGCTTGAAAAGATGACTGAGAATAATCATTATGTTAAGGAAATTGTTGTTGACGTAAATGATAATGATGTTACATGATGTGAGGGGAAAAGTGAAAATAAGGGATTTTGTGATTGAAAATGAAGAATACCGTACAGAGGAAAAATTACATTAAGGGAAATAATGTAATTTTAACCTTAATAGAACACTAATAGAAATATAAATGCACAAGTGTGTATGTATGTTATACTATTAGAATTCAAAGCTTCTGATAACACTTTTAAAATTGACGAGTCTCTCTCGGAACAAAAGGTGAGTGGTTAAATGTAATAAACTCTTGGAAATTGAAACATTAATTCAAGATAATAATTTATTATATCACACTTTTTGAGAAATTTTCAATATTGTCAAAATGTGAATTGCTTGAAAAGACATCATAATAAATCATTTGTAAAATTTATAAAATGCAAATCAGGTGAAGAATCCTGCTTCTTAGTTTACTAGGATGTTATTATGAGATTCTTTTTATTAGGATGCTATAATGTTAGCTTTTTAATTCTGCCTTTCAATCCTGTAGATGATGTGATTAAAAGAAGACCCATATCTATTTTGCAATTGCTGGGGGAGATAGAGAAACCAGATATGAAACAAACAATGAAAACTGGAGTTCACATCCTTCAATTTAGCAGTGATGGGCAGTATTTAGCATTTGTGCATGGTATGAAAATCATTTATTTGTTATTTTAATAATTATTAGGAAATTAAATTTAAAAAACAAATGATTGTTATATTGTCATCTGCAGTAACTGCTGTAGCCAAGTGTTGTAAATTTTCAAAAATTATTTCACATATTGATCTGAAGTAATGTCATTATAGATACTAGCTAAAATGTTATTAAAAATTGGCAGAGCTCATAACTTTTCTTTTATCTGCTATTAGTTTTTGGAAAAATTATAATATAGGATTTGGAGGTGAACTGTAGGCAATTATGTTTCATTTAAAGAGAAAATTGGGTGGTGGATAAAATAATATTCCTGTTTGGATGATTTCAATAGCTTATTTTTTTATTTAATGACAAACTGAAAATTATCATCATTTTTATTGGGAGAAGGGGAAAATTTCTAATCAATGAAAGAAATTGATTTAACAATTCTCATTACTTGATTTTATTTTAGGTTAGGTTTCTGTTAGTGTTTGGGAATTAATCACTGGTCATTGATAAAGCCAAAAAACATTGAATTAATTTAAAACTACTAAAATTCTGATTGAATTATTAAAAATTTTGTATCATTTGTATATCATATATTCAGCCTAATATAATAGAGAATATCTATGCATCAAAATAGTTTTAAAAAATGCAATATTAAAATTTACAAGAAAATTCATAGCCAGTCTGTTATAGAAATATAAAATTTTAAATATATCTCTCCTCTTTTCCAAAAACGTGTGAAAATAGAATTATTTTGAAAAATTTCTAAATATTGTAATTAGCATTATTGAAGTTTGTTATTTGTGTTAAGTTTTACTTTGAATGTTTTTTTTTTCAGTGTTTTATGTATTTTATTTTCTATTTTTATTGTTATTATTTATGTTGTACCATTTAAGATCTCCTCTTATATATAATCATAATTAATTTTCAAGGAATAGTTTTTCCTGTTTTTAAATCAGGATTTTTCATTTTTAAGCTTTAGTTCGATTAAATATATGAAACACACTTTTTATTTTACTGAACTTTTTTGCATTATGCACAGTAATAAATATAGTTGTGACAACTGTAGTTAAACTTTGGGAGGGGGCGATATTATGTTTGTTAGATTGGGAAACACCATTATAATGAGAAAACATCATACAGTGCAAGCTTTTTTAGAAAAATCTTTTAAGAATTATTTGTTTTCTGCATTTTGATACTAAGAAAATATTTTATAGAATTTAAAATGTGTAAATATATACTATGTGTGTAATTTTATGGTATATCTTCTGTGAAACATTTTGGAGCAAGCTTGTTAGGGAGCAATGCAAAACATTCTGCTTCAGGGCTGTTGTAATAATGGCTTCTTATTAATATTAATATTTAATTATGGTTCCTTATTAGTTTAAATATTAATTAAAAGTGAACAGAAGGCCTAAACATTATGTAGTTTTATTTTGATTATAATTTTTTTAAAGGTCTATAGATATCCTCTGAACACCAGTTTTTTAGTGTTATGTTGTATTCTTGTAATGAAAGTGTCAACAATGTTTAGGGCATCGCATTTAGCTGTTAAAAGTGCCTTAGTGAAAGTGTCATCAGTAATTAGTGCATAGTGTCTACTCACATAAGAGTGCTCTAGTGAAAGTGTCACCAGTGCTTACCGCACCATGTATATTCGCAAAAGTGCATTAAGCAACACCAAGTGTTTTTTAGTGAATTTTTCTCAGCGTAAAGCGGATCGTGCGATACTAAAGTGATATGACACACCCCTCAGTGTTGCCAGAGAACACGGACACCCAAAATCTAAGAGCCACTGGAATACAAATGCGCTGACAACCTCGGAATTGACCACGAGGACCGAGAGTTAAAGCCCTTGTCAAAGACATCTGGCAGATCACTGCCACTTACAGAAGGGGAAGGCATCTTCTTCCGCAGGATCTCCGAGATCGGGTCCAGCAACTCTCTAAGTATCCTACAGGGCTTAGCAATTGAGGGTGAAGACTTTAAGCCCAAGCCAGTTACTGCAGAGATAGGTGTGAATACGTCCACTTTGTTTGCTGCAGCCAGCTGCACACGCCCCACGGCAGCACAAAGTGAACCTCAGCAAAGAGCCACTCCTCCAGTTCCAGAGGCATTTGCTGGTGCACAGGACACACACAACGCCAAGGTCGTTTGCAGAGGTCGTCAAGCTTACGCAGAAACCCAGCCTAATCCTAAAACCTTCTGCGCCAAAGAACAAAACACAACTGAGAAAAAGAGCTACAAGAGAAGGCGCCTCTCAGCAAGTTGCAAGTAGCAGTGGAAAGGATTTCCACCACAGCAAAGGAGAGATAGAGGTCTATTGCAAGACAGCGAAGCGCAGGACAACTTAGAAGAGGCATTGCAGAAAGCCAACATCGATGCCAGCCTACGCAGACGACAACGAAAGGAAACCGCGTTGCACAATTCACAACGTCTCAGACTCCGTTAAAACCGGAGGATCTCATCGACGAATTGGCAACGACAACAACAAGCATTTCAACCAAAAATGTCAAGGCCCTTTTCAAGCTCAGAGAGAGAAATCCAATGCGTGTTAAATGGGTCCTGGAATGCGACCCCTCCTGTATCCAGGCAGTCCTTCGAGCTAGAAGAATCTACATCGGATGGCACGCACATAAAATTACAGAGTACTTGGGAATACGCCGATGCTACAAGTGCCAACAGCTCGGCCCACACAAGACCAATGTACCTGCAAAAAGGAATTCTGTGCTTACTGCGCCGGACCCCATCACACCAGCAAATGTAAAGCCGAACTTCCAGAATGCATTAACTGTCGGGATGCAAATGAGAGACACGGAGCTAGGTATGACTGCAGGCACCCGGCATACGCAGCGGAGTGTCCAGAGTACCAACGTGCAGGGCCTATATCAGAAGTATTACCCAGTACTGATAATAGCATCATATCACAAAAAAGCAGGAAGCCAGTCAAAAACTGATGTACTTGTCAACCGAGAGACTATAGCAGAAGAAAAACACCGGTGTGAAAATACTACAAATCAATATGCAGCGCGCCAGAGAGCGGCAGTCGCTCAAACAATACAATATGCAATCGAAAAGAACATAGATATAATCCTTGGTCAAGAGCCTTATGTCAGAGAGGGGATGGCAGTAGGTTTCCCGGTAAAATGGACGGTATTTCAGAAAATAGATAAAGATAATGCACCAAAAGCAATTTTAGTATGCTGCAGGCCGGACTGGTTGCCGGTTATCATCGCAGCGGAACAAGACAACACTGCAGTACTCCTGGAAGTTCATTCACTCACTTTGGCCATCGCTTCGAGCTACTCGCCACCGACAGTGGAAATTGGGCCCACTGCAAGGTTCATGGAGCAAGTTTTACACAAGATAAAGATTCCATACGTACTTTTTGGGGAAGATTATAATGCCCATAATACTACCTGGGGCTATCGTGCTACGGACACAAAGGGCAGAGAGCTGGAGGACTTCCTCTGCTCGAAAAATCTTGTTATCCACAATACCGCAGAAGCGCCACCCTCCTTCGACAGTCTTCACTCGGGGCTGGCCCGATCTCACTATTACGTCTTTGCAAGCAGCGTTCTTACTAACAGATTGGAAAGTAGATGATCAAGAAAGTCTAAGTGATCACAAATTTATAACTTACTCTCTGCGGCAGTCGACATCTATCACCAAAATTAAAAGGTACAATCTCCCAGGTAGAAAGCTTAGGAAGGATAAAAGGCACCTGGAAACTCTTGAACCGGCGCTACAGCATGCAGACACAATGGCAGACTTGGAGAATTTCTCCATCAGGCTACAGAACATCCTACAATTAGTATGTGACCAAAATCTCCCCAAGAAAAAACCTCAGAAGGTAAAGGAAATGCACTGGTGGACGGGCGCATTACAGAAGCAACAGCGTAAATGCAGGGCCTTGCGAAGGAGATTGAAGTACAAGAGGCGGCTAGAGATCACCTCGGACACACTCGCCATTTTTCAAAGAGAGCAAGCAAAATACAAAAGGATGATCATCCAGGCCAAAGTAACATCTTGGAGAGAGTTCTGTTCCAATACAAAAGAAGTATACGGGCTGCATCACAAGATAGCAACGGGGAAGGTGTTCAAGCCTTCGCAGCTTCAAATCCCGTCATCACTGGCTAGCAGCCAAAGCTACACGACTGACACTTTGAATGTAGTTATAAATACTGTGTTCAGTCAGGATGATGCAGAGCAAGACACTGCCGAACAAGCTGCCCTTCGAGCAGATACAAATAGTATAGACACAGAAGCAGATCCGGAATTCACGCTTCAAGAACTGCAGAGAGTGCTGGCAAGGCTGCCACGAAAGAAAGCCCCCGGGACAGACGGCATGGACTACACAATCGTAAAAGCTACCATAAAGGCATACCCTACATTCTTCGTAAGCTATTTCAATAAGCTTCTGTCAGTAGGACTTTTTCCAACACCATATAAAATAGGGCAAGTGGTATTATTCCTCAAGAAAAACAGAGATCCTTCAGAAGCCTCATCATTCAGACCCATCTGCCTTTTGTCGGCGATGGGGAAGGTGTTGGAGAAGCTAATCATCAACAGACTGCGCCACCACTTGCATCTCAACGGTTATCTCAGCAGCAGCCAATATGGCTTCAGGACTGGTTCATCGACGGTGCATGCCCTCCATAATATAAAGGAGGCAATTCTGGAAAATAGACACAGCGGCCACCACACGGCTATGGTCAGCATAGACCTAAAGAATGCTTTCGATACGCTGTGGTGGCCTGGCTATCAAAGCAGGCATTACGAAGGGCCAATTGCCCAAGTAACATATATAGTATAATAAGCAACTACCTGCAGGATTGGAAGCTATTAGCGGTGCATAATGCAGGCATTATCGAAAAGGTGCAAACTAGAGGATGTCCGCAAGGATCGTGCGCCGGGCCGCATTTATGGAACTTAACGTTCAATGAAGTACTGACAGCGACGTGGCCGGCGCACACTAAAATCATTGCATACGCGGATGACGCGGCGCTTATCGTAAAGGGTACCACGCGAGAAAAATTACAGAAAAATTGCAATGAAGTTTGTGCGATCTTTCATGACCAATGTACCAAACTTAAGCTCACAATTGCAGAACATAAGTCAAAAGTCCTTTTAATTCTGAAAAAAGGAGGATCCTTAGTAAGACGCCCCACCATAAAGATTAACAACCAACGCCTGCAGATAGTGGACCAGCTAAGATATTTAGGGGTCACTTTTGATCATAAGATGACCTGGATCCCTCACGTGCAGGATCTCAAACTCCGGACGGCAGCCATAGCCAAACAAATGAAACTCTTTTATGGTCACAAATGGGGGCTTAACCCCCATATTCAAAAGGTATTGTACACGGCAGTCATCGAGAAGATAGTGAGGTATGCCGCCGCAGTATGGGCCTACCCAATGCAAGGAACGAAGGTCAGACATCTTAACAGCATGCAATGACCATTCGCATTGGGAATCACATGGGCCTACCGCACCACCTCCACTGATGCCATTAACGTACTTGCTGGTCTCCTTCCCCTGCACATCCGAGTTGAGGAGGAGGCAGCACGCCAACACATTTTGCAACTTAAGAAGGCAGTTACTTTTGACGATGAAACATACTACTCGGATGAGTATGAAAACAAACTTCTGCCCTCTTGACGTCCACCCGGCAGAGAAAGGCAAAGGGATACTTATCTCAATTAATCCCACTGCAACTCATCACTCAAGGGAAATGACCATTTATACAGACGGGTCTAGATTGGACGAAAGAGTGGGATGCGCCTATGTCGCCACGAAACAAGACAACGCAATGAAGAAATGGAAGGGACAGTTAAGACAACATAACAGTGTCTTTCAAAGCGAAGCAGTGGCAATTGCACAAGCGATTCGCTACCTGCACTTGCACCAGCATAGCCACGTCACCATTAAAACGGACAGCTTATCATCGTTATATGCCATTTGGAATGCAGATCATCCCTCGGAGATTATACAGGGAATCCAGAGAGATCTTAGAAGCAACCCCCAGTACCGCACAAAATTAGAGTGGATAAAGGCTCATGTTGGCCACTATGGCAATGAGCTTGCCGACCAACTCGCCAAAGAGGCAACAACTGACCCGCCTGATGCACCAGTTATCATCCCATGGCCGCATTTGTATTTAAAGAAGACACTATGCCTAAGGGCCACTGGCATGTGGCAGAACGAATGGGACCAAAGCACCACAGGGAGAAGGACCCACTACTTCATCGGCTATGTGAACACTAGCCGAAATGTAGCGAACGCACAGTTGGTAAGGTTCATTTCCGGGCATGGACCCTATCCGGAATATTTCTTCAAGTGTGGCATGAGTCACACAAGTCAATGTGCATGCGGCGACTCAGGCTCACCAGAGCACTATCTAACGTCATGCCCATTAACAGAAGGACTGCATATCAATCTCCCTGAAACAAATCGCCAGCCATTCTGTAAATATATGATAAAACGGCGGCACTTTATTAAAAAGCTGGTACAGTTGATGGACAGATTGTCCGACTTAGATACAGACTTGTGTCAGCCATAGAACAACCCAGCATGTAAAAACAACTTAAGCATTTTAAAAAGGACATGTATTCAATGTAGGAAAACTATCATTCAAGTGAATTGTAAGAAACTATAATGTAGACTAGAAACTCACAGTATAAAGACTGCCTGTATTCATACCTGGAAAGTCAGTTGCATTTAACAATGTGCATGTACTGTGTAAATAAATTTCGGCAAATTATACCGTAAGACCATATAGAATTAACCGATATATAATGTAGGCATAACGAATGTATGAAAGTGCATATATCTGTAAGCAAAAGTAATGTAAGGGAGTGTAATATATGTAAATAAGTAAATATTTTTGTGTATCAGTAAGCTATGTATAAGTAAGTTATGCAATTTAAAGCAATGCAATATAAATGCAGAAATGTCTAATAAAAATGCATGGGTAACATATATGTTTTGTATTATGAATAAGGGATATAGGATGTCTAATGCAAAGCAATGTATATATTGGAATGTCTATTTCATGTACTGAAAAATTATGCAATAAGTACCCAAATAACATGTAATGTAAGTAACCTGTAAGACTATTATGTTTGTAAATATTTGCATCTAAAAATTAATCAGAATGTATCTGCATGTATCTGTATGCAACTGCAAGTATATGTAACCTAAGGTTAAACAGTGTAGGTAAAATTAAGTAATATCTGAAGCAGGCGTGCCTGACTATGTATGTATATAAAAATAATGTAACGTAAGGCACATGTAATATTGGCATATGTAACTGTACATGCAAACTGTATTTATATGCAATCTACAAGTAATGTAGGTATATTTATTGAAATGTACAGCAAAAAACTGTAACTGTACACAAAAGTAATGCATATGCATTGTATGCCGGAAATGAGAGACAAAGTCAGTATGTAACTCTGTAAATCACGTTATCCATAGAATATGTTAACCAGCAAACAAGAATGTAATACTAAATATTAACAGCCCTTGTATGGCCATGTAATTGCTCTTTTGAAAGAATCAAGGTTCAACTCTAAATATTGGTGGACGTGGCGCTACACCAATTAACCGACGTTAAAGGGGTGGTGCCCACGTTCCCCGTCGCATGTATTCTTGTAATGAATTATTTTTAACTAACCAGCCAATAATAATTTTACTCTACTGACATTTGCATGCAATTCAGTTGTCATAATATTAGTGTTTCATTACTAGTATATCTTTTCTATTTGACTTGTGCCTTGAATTTAAGTTAATTAGCGTGAAAAATCCAATAAATTTTAGCATGAAAAGTTCAATAAATTAAGCTTGTAAATTATTATTTAACTTAACATTCTATTATATTGTATTTATTCTATTATATTGTTTTTGTATTTACACATATTTATTATACATAAAACACAGGTCTTACACTCAGAGTTATATATCTGTTTCATGTTGAAAAACTGCAGTTGTCTGATATTATAATCCAGAATCAAAATGTAAAAAGTGAGTATTAATAAATGTTATACTTATATATAAAATTCCAACTTCTGCATAGTTTTGTGTTTACTGTTTCTTGCATTTCTCAGATATAATCATTCACAGGAAAATCATTTATTTAAAAAATTCTGCTGTGATTAAAAATAATGTTTATTTTAAAGATAAATTAATGTACTAGGAAATAAATTAATTGTTAAAATTTTTATGTAATGTAAAATCTATAAGTAACAAAAATTTATGTCAGTCAGTGAAATTATATTTAATGTTTTGTCACTATTTATTTGATAGAGATATCAAAGCAAGTATGTTATACTTTGAAACTAGGCAATGGGCTTAAAAAAATAATTTTTTAAAGTATTATCTTTCTAACCAGCCAATAACCATGCTTTCTAAAAAAATTTTGTACACATGTATGTTATGAAATCAGTAATATTTAAAATGCTGCTTGGATTAAAATCTTTCAATATTTTATTCTAATTTTTTGCATTAATTCCTTAAAAGACTTGACAAAAATAGATATATATCCATTTTGAAGTCTGACAAACAGTGAATTTTTAAGAAATTTTCTTGATGACTTGGACATAGTTTTAATAAAATTCCACCTTTCATTGAACAAGTTTAAACTTTTTAATAATCTTATAATGCAAAAATGTATATAGGTTCATCCTAATATCATTTATTAGTATCAAGAAGTATTATGCATAGAGTATTTGCAAGGCATGTGAATTGTGCAAACATTTGTTTTGAAAAAACTACATATAAATTTTATTTTCCAAATCTTACCTGGAATAAAGGTACATGAGAAATACTAAATTAATTTTTGGCTAATCTTTGGAATATGGTAACAGGTAGTTTGGCAACATTTTGGAGGCGATAAAGGTTACTACCTAGGACTTTGGGAATAATGTGAAAAGCACTCAGTTCCGATTACGCATTATTTTGTGTGAGGAAAATGAGAGATCATGAGATATGTCATGTGACATTAATGGACGAATCACTGTTCTTTAATCGGAAAAGGGGGTTGGTGACATTTATAATAGATAATTTAGAAGTAAAAGTTTTTAGATATTTTATTTATATTATACGTGGAAATGTTCATCTTTGAAAAGGGTATATACTTTTTCGCGGTCTGATAATTTCATATGTGTGCTTTTTACCGAGTTTAAAGATTCACAAAATTTTCGTGCAAATTTTTGTAATTTATGAGAAAATAGTAGTGTAGATGGATAAAGTCAAGAGTGTGCGCGATGCCATTTTTGTGCAATTCTGGGATGTTTTTTTAAGTAAAAATAAGTCGACGTGTACATGGTTACTCTGTATGTGCGATTCTGAAAAACACGGCAAGGAGTTTGAGATTCTGCACGTTTTCCCAATTTTGCAGTTAATATTTGTCATGATTAAGCAGTTTTGTTCCATAAAATTTCTAGCATAAGTGTAATTCAGCTAGCAGATTGTTGGAAAAAGTGTTCAGTAAATAAAAAGAAAAGAAACATGTCTTTACTTCGTGAAGACAAAATGGCGGCCAAAAAAAATAGAGGGTTGCTGTAGCAGAGTTGGTCGCCAAAAAATCGCCAAGTTACCATTTTCCAAAGGTCAAGCAATTTTTTTTTTTTTTTTTTGGCAATTATGTAAACATTAGGCACTATTTTCGTCTCATATTAAGTATTTTTAGCTTCTTAATATTAAGTATAATAGCAATAAAAATGTTATTACAGTTTGTTATGTGTTTCAAATAGGTAGATAGGAACACTTTACTTGATTGATTCTATCTGTTGAAAATGTTAAAATTCACTTGCACCATATGGTTTACTCTCAATTGTAACATTCAGATTATCAGTTGTGTTTTACAAAATGTGTTGCTATTTCTTTCTTCTTCTCCTCTTAAACTGTAAAGTTTCTTTGTATGCTTTGGTTCAAATGAATGTTGATCAAGTCCCCCCCCCCTCAAGGTGTAAGGAAAGCAAGTTTTCTTATTTCTGTTCTACACTTACAGCATTTACACACCCAAAGCTAAATTCTTCAGTTGACAAAATCGAGATTTCTAGCCTTCCCCCCTGAAACAAACATATCTTTTGAACAGTTTTCCCAAATTAAACTGTGGATACTCTTATTAGAGGAGTTAAAACAACAAGAATTAGCATAATATTTATAAATTTGCATGACTAGTTTTGAATGTTTAAATATTTAAACTCTCCGAACTAGTCCTGCAAATTTATGAATATTATGCTGATTCTCATTGCTTTAAATCCTCCAGTAACTGTTATTCATTGTGTATTTAATGTATAAGTAAGTTATTTTAACTTAAATATAGACACTTTTATTGGCCTTTTGTATTTTATCAGAAATGTGTTTTGACAGTAGTTTAGTAGCAGTTAATCTTTGGTAAACAGGTGTTTATTTTAGAAAGAACACTTTTAGATACTTTGTTTTCATTGCTTTATATTTGTACCAGATAATTCATCGTCAAAGGAACTGTGGTATAAAACAGTTGTAATAGTATTAGTAAAAAATAAGCACTGTAGAATATTTAATAAAATTAAGTACGTTATTGATGGGAAACATTTTGCAAATAGTAAATATTCATAAACTGTGAAGTAGTAGTTAATGTACTATTTAAAGAATTAGGTGTAAAAATATTAACATCAGTAGATATCTGCTCAATCGTACATTTCTTTTCTTCCCCCCCTTTTTTTTTCCTTTCATTTTTTCTGAAATTAACAGGGCCATGTTTGTATTGTTTACACAATTTTAAATGCACAAAATTTTTTAAAGAAAATATTTGAATACTTGCTGTTATGTATGCTGAGCATTATAAATGCAAGGAAAAATTTGAAACTTTTATTAAATTTTAACTATTTTAAATAGTACTGTTCCTATAATTCAAACTAGACTGAGTTTATTTATTGCATTTTGATAATTATTAAACTTTAATTATAAGTTATTGAACCCAAACCTAATTATACATGTTCCTTTCATTAATAAAGAGATTTCCTGCTCAGAGATAACTCATCTAGAATATTTTAAGTATTATAGCAAATATTTCTGAAGTTATATCATAATTCTTGTATTTGCAAGAGAAGTTTTTTATAATAATTTTTTTCTAAAAAAAGACCATCAATTTAATAAATTATGAATTGTTAATGTAAAAAATTACATATTATTTCTAATCACTTCTCTGTTCTAGAAATTTTAATATGAATTATAAAATGCCTACTTCTTGGTTTCAAAACAGTTTTACATTTAAACTCTGATTTATATTTTAGAGATAAACATGTTATTAATTCTGAATTGCTGGTATTCATACTTTATTAATTCTGAAATGCTAGTATTCATTATATGCTCCATAAAGCATTGCATATTTTGTTATATTTTATCTGAAATTTATGTATTATATCACATTTTTTTTAAAAAATTAAAGTTGTGTTTTAAAACTTGATAATTTTGTGCCCTAAATCTAGGTTTGTGCTGGCATCCTAAGCAAAACTTTTTAATCATTTGTACTGGATCGGATACTTTAAATATGTGGACGCCAAATTATTGTATTTGTTTTATGTCACCATATGAAGGTATTTTCCAAAGTTATTAAATTGATACAAATGTTTGTTTGTTAAATGAAATTTTTGGTAATGTAATTTGATATTTTAATATTTAATATGTTTGTTCTAGATAAATTTTCTATAATTAAAGCATCATGGCATCCAAAAGAAGACTTCTTAATTTTAAATAGCAAAGAGTGTTCTTCATTATTATACTTACCTGGAAGTTTTTAAGGAACCTGAACATTTGATTTAACTTTTTGATTCTGTATTATTTTATGTTTAATGATTTTTGAAATTGTAAAAGAATAGTATTTATAAAATTTATTACAAGAAATGACCATTGTGTGATACTTCTTGTGTTTATTTCCGTAGCATAATTGATGTAAATATTTCAGTATAAGCATGTAGAAATGTATAAATTGAATTAACGTTCATTTTTAATGTTGAAAAGTGTCCTTATTATTCCACTTTAATCCAAAAGATAAAATATAGGCAAAGTTCCATAATCATTATGCTATCAGAAGTCTAAAAAAATATCGGAAAATTTGTTTGAGGTACCCCTATCCTCTGTTGTCATGTTTTTTATCCACAAGATATCCTTAACTAATTAATAATTGAATTTCCCCTATCTACATCATATTTTTTTGTCATGAATAAATGCAGATTATAATTTCTTCATATTTCTTTGATTATTGTGAGCTGTATAGAAGTAATTGCTTATTATACAATGTTTAATAGTACAGGAAATAATAGAATATTTATGATATGCCAGTAAGCAAAAGTTGAGCATATCTGAAATCACCATGTTTATGTTGAGTATAATATTCTATATTCTTGAAATATCAAAAGTAAGGTATTTAAGATATCCATAAGAAATCAACATACTTTGGAATCAATGTTTTTTTACAAGCAATCAAAATCAGTGACCTATGCATAAAAAAATATCTGAAAATTTGCTGATATATTATTAACAAATGACATATTAATAACAAACAATTAAGAGTTTCAGTATTCAAATCGTTCATGTTAAGCCATTGACACTATTTCCAAATAAATTAATAAAATTATGTTTAGCAAATTATTTTTACTTGACATTGGATATCTCTTTATATTTATTCATAAACGGCATAGACATTTTGCTAACTAATATGATATTCATTCCTAATTATATAAATTTCTGTATTGGTTAATAATTTTGACAGTTTAGTAATTTATGGAAAAATCCAAAATTATTAACAATTGTAGAGGTTAATGACTATTAGCTCAGTAGATCTGTCACATAATGATCATGATAAGATTTCTGAACTTTTGCTAGATAGTCATGAACAGTACTATTTATTGTAGGTTTCTAGATTGTAGTAAAATATTATATTAATTTATAGCAGAAACTAAAAATATTGAAGGCAGATATCATCTAAAGACTATTCTAATTCTCTTCTATGTTAAATACATCATGAAACTGCCTTCAATACCAAGTTATTAATGATATTCTGCAGAATTTAAAAATGTTTGAATAAGTTTTGATTAAAGTAACTGAAAATATTTGAGATATGAATAGCAGCAGCAAATTTAAATGAATTTTAAATTTGTGATTTTTCAGTGTAAAGATATTTAAATATTTCTTCAGTGTAAAAGTATTTAAGTAATTACATTTCATGTTAGTAAGAAAAAGAAATCAAATGATTTCAGTATGTAAATTAGAGACATTTTGGAGAGAATTATAAAAAATACCTGAAAATTATTGCTTTTGACTATGAGTATACTGCATCTTCTATATGCAAAATTGTACCATGCACAGGCAATCTCATTTCTATGTTGCTTTTACTTTTTTACCCATATCTTTTCTATTTTTGGTTATCAAATTAGTTATATAAATGGCAGTGGATGTCAATTAAGTGGTAGTTTATAAAGTCTATTTTGTTCTATTCTGATTGGTTCAAATGTGTGCACTTGTTCCACATCTTTTACATGATTGGCATTTTTATCTTAGCTTTTCACACATATTGCTGATTTGATAACTTAGGTGCAAGTAGTTAAAACTATATTTTTTTTTTCCCATAAAATAATGGCTGATTTAGAATGTATGTAACGGATTTCTTTCAATTCAGACTGTGATTTGAAGTCAGAATCTGAAATGTCTGTAAATAAGTCTGAGAGCAGTGAAAGTTCTCTAGATGACTGGTGCCAGTATAAAAAACATAGTGACTTTGGTGCCAGTATAAAGATGCGAATTTGCAGTTTTGATTAGATGTTATATCATTTAACTGATTAAAATGTATGCAACTGTAAAAGGTAAAGGAAAAGTCTTCCTGGATATTTAACAGCTCCACCAAGACTAGTAGAAATATATTTTTAGAGATGATTTTACTTGCCTGGGGAAGGATTAAAATCTGCAAGATAATGCTTTTATGTGTTCACTGGGAAAAAAAAGGGGGCAGCTTGGTATTTTTATCTGGGTCGTGATGTTGGACTGCACTTCTTGCTTTGTTTTAAGATGAATTTAGCTAAATCTGATCTTTTTTTTTGGGGGGGGGGAAGCCAAGTAAATGTAATTGCAATCAAACTTGATTGTATTTTTAAATATGCAACTGTAAATGTAACTTCTCTGTTACATACTTTTGTAGCAATAAAAAAAACTTCCAGGGAAAATACTATTTTATTTGGAATAAAAAATTGTTCCAATTGCTTAAAATATTGCATTTAATTTAATTTACTTACAAATGTAAAATGAACAGAAAAATTAAATATAAAAATGTGACTTTTTTGGATAGAATTTGGGAAAAAAATAAAAGTTTAGTTGGTAGTCATAATGTAGATTGCGATTTTATGTGCATATCTTATTTCACTCCTAATTAAAAGATGAAAAAAAGCTGATTATTTATATTTTGGAGTGAAATATTTCATTATTGGATAATAGTTTTTAAAAGAAAATAAGCCCTGAAGACAAGTTTGAGAAAAGTACAAAACTTATGTTTTTCTTTTTCTATACATAAAAATAATGAAAAGGAGAAGAGATATTGAAGCCCATTAATATGACAGCCGTTGAAAGAAAAGTGAAAAGGGAGAGAATAACAGGGGTTGGGGGAAGAAGAGGAAAGATGTTGGAAAACAAAAAAGTGTAGTACTGCTCATTCATTCAGTTATATAGGAAACTTATGGAACAAAACTACAATTAAACATTTATCACGTATTTTGAAAGTTTCCTTCATTTGGAGTTTGATTCTCAGAAGGGAAATAGGCTAATTACTAGACCTTTTCAAAATTTTCCATATGAGTAAAGTAAATAATGATCCAAATATTCAATTGAAAGGTATTTTTTGCTGGCCAAAAAATTCCAATATACTTTGTTGCAAATTTAATCAGTCTATTAGCCCTCCTCTTAAAGCATTGTTTCCCAACACATGTAGTGTATGTGGAGGGAAGCGATTTGAATAGTTTGGAGGTGAAATGTTTTCTCTTTCTCCACAGTTGCATCATATTAGATGGAGATTTTAATGTTACATTTAATGAATCTATGAAACTGTGATTCACATAGTTACAAATTACTAGTTTTCACCATTTCAGCCAACATTAAAATTGAATTTTTTTCATTCCCAAGATGTTATAGCATCATAACTGCAAATACTGTGAACTTTTGCTGAAAAATCTTCCCGAATCTCTAGATCAAGCATGACTAAAAGCCGGCTCGTGGGCTAAATGCAGTCCTTCTAATTGCTTCATCTGGCCTGTTATGAAATCCTGTGCAACAATATTTTCTTTCCTACAAGTTTTGTATGCAAATTTCTGAAATCAGCAGTCTGAACATGCATCTGTTACCATGTTTACACACTTATATATGCTTGATTTTACCAGCTATCAACCTAAGATGAGAACACCAGATATGCTTGAAGGCATATGCATTTGCTGACAGTCATATTATTTCTATTACATTTAATTTAGAAATTAAACAATGATATATGAATATTTTTTAGATAAAAAGACTGATCAGAAAAGGGAGCTTAGGGAAAGAGCACATCACCTCTAAACTTTTTATTTGAAATTGAAACAATATACATGACAATCATTTACTGACCAATAGGGAATAGATCCTGTTTTGAGTATACTTGTAACTTTTAAAAGCGTTTTACTGGGACCTTCACGTCCTGCAAACAATAGATGCACCCCAAAGATTGTCCTGGCCCTGATCAACATGACACACTAAAAAAGACATTTTTGGCCCATGGTTAAAATTATTTGCTCATTCTTGCTCTAGATGTAACAACAGTAAATGAGCTTTCTGTAGATCATGATCCATTGAAAATTTATATAGCTCTTGAGAGATATAACACATCAAACTTTATTTGAACTTCAATGAGGTATAACACATGACTATGATATCATAAAAGATAAAGGAAAACAAATCATGCCATTGATACTAACTTAATTTAATCGTTTGTTTGTAGCTAGAATTCAATGTTTAAAAGTAAATTAAATTAATAATATTGGGACAAATATTGGTGTGTCTTGTGAATTTGTGCTTAATGATTATTGAACATTTTTATTAGTGATTTAAAAAGATAACTCATTCAATGTCCGGAAGAGAAATATATTCTTTAGGGATTTGAAATGTGTGATAATTATCTTTTGAGAAAATGTTTTTGAAGGGACTTGGGAGTTATCCTAGCTGTAATGTAATGTTGATCTAGATAAAATTAATAATACCGTATTTGATGGCATATAAGACGCACTTTTTTTCCTAAATTTGGTCTAAAAAAAGTTACCTGCGTCTTATAGGTGAAGGATACAGTCTTATACATGAAGGTAATTGCATTCAATAATTGTTTATTTGGCTTTTACAAAACGTGAGAACTAAAAGAAACCATGCTATTGAAACTTTTTTTCCTTGTGTGTGGCCGTCTAAATAAAGGTGCGTCTTATATGCTGTCAAATACGGTATGTGTTGTAAAATGTAAATTTTTATATTATTATCATTATTATTATTATTTTTGTTAGTGGTTTATCATGTCTTTCCATGTTTAATCTGGAAGGTTCTAGTAACATGGGGATCTGCATATGAACCTGGTCTTAAATATAAATTCATAATGCTATATAACATACAAATTTTGGGTGTTTATCATAAATGTACTTATTTAGTAGGTATATTGAGATATTTTACTAATTAGAGGGTGCAGCTGAAATTGTAAAGCTGCAAAATTATCTAATTATTATTATTTTTGTGACTTAGTGATTAATTTTTTATGTATGGCTGTATTTTCTCTGGTGTTTTGTGAGGTTGTGTATTCATGTATTTCAAGAAATGAGTTTATGGCTATCTATTAAAGTTTGGGAATTATTTTGTTTTGGTATAATTTAGTATGTGTTTTCAAGAATTCCAGTAGACACTTGAAGAGTATATATTTAATGACATGTGGCATATTTTTTAGAATTTTGAAATGAACTTCATTTTCATTTTTATTGAAAAAAATATGTTATGATTTTATACCAAGGCACCAGACAAAATACGTTTCACTTTACTTTTCCTATTATTGAATTAATATATATGAATTTAATTTATTTTTCAAAGATGATGAATTATGTAATTTAGTTTAAATGCAATCACCACTTTCTATATTTCAGATTCTGAGTGAGGTTATTGTAATATTTATGTCCTGGCCAGTAGTAGAAATTTAGATAATTAATTTTTTAAAACTTTTATAGCTATAATATGCGAGTGATTATCGATGCCTGTTTTGGCAAGTTATCCAATGCAGTTATGGCAGTCAACAATGCAAAGCCATGAATAGTAATTATTATGTAAATTTTCTCAAAACTATTTTCAAATATATTTAGAGTCACGAGAAAGAAAATGGACTTGCTCACGGAACAATTATTTTGCTTCAGAACAATGTTTATCTATATATTGCTGTTGTGACATTGATAACACTATCTAAATTCACTTTATGGGATTAGAATATCCTGCGCATACCCCGGACTTAGAGACATGCAGTTTTTAGGTGATCAAACATTAAAAACAGGAAGATGTTCTCCTCAAATGATGAAGTGAGAAGTGCTGTGCCGGCAGTGCTAAAGAACATGCAAAACAATCTATTTCATCTAACTGGAAGAGAAACACGTTAATGAAGATGTTAAATTAGGTAAAAAATGACATATTATGGTATATCATCAATAAGTGTCACTTACATACCATGATTGTTGCAAAAGCGAGAAAGCTTAAATTGAAACTAAATTATGTATGTTAATCTTAAATATAAGTCTTAAAATTGTTCTATTGTTCTCATAAAAGCAACACAGTTGCATGCAAATGCAGTATCATATTAATTCAAGCATTTTCCTGGAAAAATATGTAATTGCTGGGTTTCCAGTTATTGCATAAATCATTGATGTCTAAAGAGGAATTATTCTATATAGAAAATCTATATAAAAATTATTCTTAGAGATATTTGTTATGATTTTTAATTGAGAAAGAAAGCCCTTTTAATTGAAAATTATTTTCCTCCAGAAGATACTGAAGAAATTTTAAATCTTTTAGATATGATTATTTCCAAATATTCAACAAACATTTTAACTGCTGGAGATTTCAGTTCAAAATGCCGTTTATATGTGCCATTAAGAGAGAATTTCTGCAGTCAGGCTTCAGGAGGAAATATATTGCTTCTGAAAAAATGGGACCTAAGCATGATAGCTTGCCGAACCGATAGAGATTGATTTAAAATTTATACCAATTTAAATTTGTTTTTGTCCATTTTTGAATTCTACATTGGCATGTTTCTTTTCCAGTTTAGACTTCGGGAACAATAAATATATATCATATGAAATGGAACAGTTGTTAACTGAAATCATATTTCATATGGAAGAGAAAAAAATGAATCCATCTTGGATTAAATGTCATATGAGAATTAAAGTGAATGAACACGTTGACTTTTGTGCCCAAGAATGAAGTCTCTAATAGTGTTTGTTGAGCTGTTAAAGCTTCAAGAAGTTCTTCAAGTCCGTCTAAAGAAAAATTATATCAGTATGGGAGAATGATGATTATAAGATGAAAGAGGTAGATGGAATTTTTATGTTTCTTTTAAGGTTATGATAGCAAAATTGTTAAGAAATTAATTTTTGAATCTAGTATTTAAACATTTAGCTCTGGAGTTTGGATCTTTTAATCCTTTGAAGTCAACAGAAAGGATTATATCTGTGGTAAGCAGTCTGCAAATCCATTTCATTATCTCTTGTTTTATGATGTTATAAAACTTACTCAAAATATATGTTTTCCAAGGATTAGTCATTGTACATGTTTAAAATATTGTAATTAACACGAGGATAAGTTTTCTTTTATTTCCTGTACTTCCAAGACTTGTTATTTTTGCATTAAACACCCTTCATTCAGTTGCAATAATTTTTACTATAACATAAAGTAACCACAGACTTAAATGTTTGTCAGTATATGTTTCAGTCAACACTCAATTATATTAAATTTAAAACTAGTTCATAAAAATCATGCATATTATAACTTTTTTTTTACAAATATCCAATAGTTTAATTAATGGAGACTGAAAGGGAATTAGATTCCACTTTTTAACATTTAAATATTAGAAAATCAGAGACTTATTATTTCAAAAATAAGAACTACAAATACAAAGTTATATTTTACACTATTCATATTATGCTGATAAAACATTTTTGAAAATCAATACTCCTTGACAATCAAACTGCTGCTTTCATAAGATATTAAGACTTAGCAGAATCCTTCAAAATTTAGTATAAACTTAATCTGTTATTTAACCAAGAGCCTTTAGCAAAAAGAACTACAATACCATTAACATTCAATTAAAAAATCTTAGCATCATGTCCATAGCTGAGAAGGAAATTTATTGAGAGAGCAAAATACCCAATTATCAAGTTTTTGTGACTTGATAATGGGAATTTGAGTTCTTTCACTAAAAATGGTTAAATAGTAATATAATTAACAATAAAAGTGTTATATTGAAGTGAACGATTTTATGTAAATCACTATTTTTTTTCAATTAATCTACTTATAAACTTTTCTACTAACTTATCTACAAGCTTATCCTGTGAGTTTGAAAAAGCTGTTTATGGGAACTAGTATAAAATTTCAAACTGTAATTTAGTTTAAAAGGACCAAATTTAGTTTTTGGAGTAATGAATATAAAGTAAACATAAACAATAAAATGACTATGCATGCAGAAGAACAATATCTTTATTAAATGTTTTTCATACACACTTTTTTTCAGTTCACTAAGGGTTATAATTTGTTTTGTAGTAAAAATATGAAGATTAAAATATTTCTACTTACATGGTAAGATAATGTTTGTTCCATTAGAACATCTATAAATATCAAGGCTAAATACTGTTAAATTGCATACATTTTTAAACAATTTGGTCTTGGGTTTGGACATTCTTTAATATCAAGAATGTTTCAATTTGCACCATAAGTATTTTTTCCCCAAATAATGCATATAATATGTAATACATATCATACAATATATTCCTACTGTTCTTGTGAAAATTCTACTTTTGTGTATCAGCTGTTTTAAAAGATGAGGTGGCTTCATTCATGTATGAGGGACATTTGGCTATTTGTGTTTGTTTAAGCAATCTTTTAATTTTTGAATGAATATATACTAGTATTTTCACGCCATTTTTACTGCTAGATTTTTTCCTCTGAGTACTTGTTATTTTGTGGATCAATGCATATAATACTAAAATAATTATGAATTCCCAGTTATATCATATGGATTTTTATTGTAGCTACTATTTTTATTTCATTTATTTATGCTTTTATTACGAACATTGGGTTGGCCAAGAAATGATGTCAGATTCATGCATTAAAATTTACTTAATTGCTGCTATGTTTTTGATTGTAACATGAAGTTTTTAATCATAAAATATGTAAATGTTCTGATAGCTGATATTTTCAAATGCCTAAGGTAACATGATTGCATTTTTTGATAACAGCTAGATCCCTATATTGATTGAAAACAATTTATACTACACAATGAATCGGACTGCAGATACATTAAATATACTCAGATCCAATTATGTAAATGTAAGGTCTGGTAAAAACTGATATTATCAAATTTGGCTAATGTTATAATACATTTCAAATTTATGGAGAACTTTTTAATCCCTTGTAATTAATTCTTCTCGCAAGTTTTTCATTTTCTATTAATAAATTGTAAATTATTTTTTTATTCATAAAAATTTTAGAATTTATATACTTATGAAAACGAGAAAGTTTAAGTTCAAAAGATTTTGATTTTAAATAATCAAATATTCAATCTTCTTAGTATTAATATTCACAGTTTTATCATTCCAGCAATTATTGTATCATTAAATAGAGTAAAGTTAACTGAAAAGTCTAAATAGTTTATTTTTGTTTATTTTCTTCAGAATATATTTCTGAACAATGAACATTAATTTATACAACAAATAATGCTAATTTTAATAGTTGTTCTTTTTAACTTCTATTTACCAATTTAGAAGTCAAACAACAAAATTTCTTAGTATTAATATTTACAGTTTTATGTGACTATCTTTGTGAAATATGTAAATATATTTATCTTTGTTGATTATTAAATACTTTATAATCATATCAACAGCTGAAAATTACCTACAGTAACTACCTTTACACAAACGTTTTTCTATTTACCATTTAAAAAATAAATTTAATTCTTATTTCTTTTATCATAATTTTATTAAATTGAGTATGTTAAAGTTGATATTTTCACAAGAACATTGTAATTGCTAACTACAGATGTTAAATTTAATAAGAAATCAAAATAATTTATGTACAAGAATATATTTTTTCCCTTGAACATTAATAATACATCTTCAGTCATCAGTTATTAGTAACTAACTCTTGATATAGGCTTATAAATAAACTGAGTTTTGCTGCTCTCAGTGTTGATTTTATGAATGACAGTATAGAAATCACTTTCTGTAATAGGCAGAAACATCTGCTATTGCAAAGATGCACAGTGGTTTCCTATCCGTCAGTTCTTGTGAGGTATGACAACATTTATTTTCATACTTTATTGTGCATATAAACACATAACTGTCATATGATAGTTATATTCAGTGCTGATACAAATATCTTTTTCTTCACGAGTGCTTTGCAGAAAAGAAATGCTGAGTGCAAATAGCTTGCTATAGGAATGCAAAACAAGGAAGGTAAATATTTTATGATTGTGAATCCATGAGGGGTGATTTCCCACTTTCATTTTTTTTAAAGAGCTTATATTACAATTTCTTTAGGATTAAACAACATTTTGAATTCTTAAATTGTGTAGGCTATTGAGCTGAAATAAAAATGTTTTTTACAATATTACTTTAAGTTCAGCAAAACCATAAAACTTTTCTTCTTGTGAGAATGCTAAACATTCTGTTTCTTGATGACTTGGCACATCAAAAAGATTAAATTTCGTTTATTTTATGAATAATAAATATTATTTTTAAATATATTATAGTACTAAACATATTTTTATGTAAAATATTAATTATTCAACAGTATAAATCTGAAATTACGTTCTGAAAACAGCTTCTCTCATTTCTATGTTTAAATGAATCTTAGATACAGGTTAAAATGTATAGAAAATTTTTAGAGATCTGGAACACCACTGAGAATGAAATGTAATAGATATCGGTTCTTTGTTGATTATTAAATACTTTATAATCACATCAACAACTTAATATTACCTACAGTAACTACCTTTACAGAAACCTTTTTTAAAGAATTAAATTACGTAGTTGTTACGTTATGTTAGTCAAATGAGATAACAGAAAATAGGATAAAAATCCAATAAATTCAAATATATTGCAGGTTTTTATTTATCAAAGAATGTAATACCCAGTCACTTATATAAATCCTTGTAGAATATATATTATGTATGCTTTGTCATGTCACGAAAATATGTGAAATGCATACAGAGGATGATACCAATGCACAGTGTTCCTTTTAATAATACTTTCCACTTTATGCCAGATAGGACATTTTTGTTACACACACATTCATGTGATTATTATTGCGGGAGATGCTTGTTTTACAGAATTTTCAGCTACATAATGTGTTTTCAATAAATTAAAGAAAATTTTTGCATTCTGACTCAAGTCAGTTTTTCTTTTGAAATAATAAATATAGTACATCTATTTTACTGTTACTCTGCTTTTTAAGATTATTTTATATTTAGAGTTAATTCAGCTTGCACATCATATTTTTCTTATCAGAATCCACTTATACTTTCATGAATAGCTTAATCAGTTTCTGCAAACACTAAAAAGAAAGGAGGGGGGGTATACTTCTATCTCTGTAAATTTTATGAGGTAAAATATGCACCGCAATTCATGTTTATTTGAAGAAATTAAAATAAATTCTGCTGTTAGTAATCACATTTTGAGTGAAAAAATTGAGAATGCAAGCTAATTCTTTTTGGAAATATTCTGAATATTTTTTTATATGATGGTGCTTTGAAAAGGATGTGATGATACTAGTTTCGTCATCAGATGACGGAAATTCAAATTAGCAATATATAATTTATTAGTTCTTACCAATTGATGAAGGTAAGAAGTCTTGCAACGACAGGGAGAGTAAAAGAAGATAAAGAAATGATGAAGACTTCAGCCTTAATTTTAAATGTTGTTGGTTGATACTGTTTATGTATTCTTAGGCAAACTGCCTTAATAGAAAATAATTTGGAAGTTCAAATGTATTCACTAAAAGTAGTTTACCTTTCAATTATAAATATCAGTTAAATAGCTATGCTACTGTTTCGCTTTTGTAATGATTACCAAGTGGAATGTTTGGCAATTATGCCATATAACTATTTGCTAATGAAAATGGCAAGTTTGCGAGCCAATTTAATTTGTTAACCGAGTGAAGTTTAATGCAACTAAAAATTTAGACTGGCTTAACATCAAACACTGTACCGAAGTTTTATCTAGATGAAATATTAAGCTAATTGTTAGTTCATATATGGCATCATGATGTTTTACAGCGGAACTAATTCTCAAAATAGATGCTTGCAGCACATTAACGTTTTATAATGCATAAATCAAAATCCCTTCAGGAGCTTTGTCCTATTCACTGCATTGAATCTTTACCGAGAGATCAGTATGAAGGAAATCGTTTTGTTTACTTTTATAAGTTTTTCTTTTTGATCTTTTAAGAAACAGACCATAATTCAGTCGTCAGCATTGTCTTTAGTTAAAAATTTTGCTAAAGATCTGCTGCATAAAAAGTGCCAAAATAAGCCATGCCCAAGTCTCACTTTTAATTAAAAAAAAAAAAAACAAACAAAATAACCTTTCAGGACAAAATACCCTTTTGCGTAGTAGCATGCAAAATCAAATCAGTATTTCGTAACTACAAACATTAAGCTTCAAGATTATGTAGTATCTTCGTTCAGCAAATATTCATTCTAGATGAAGTGGAAAAATTGTACTTACTGCATTTTCGAAAAAAATAATAATATCGTCTGAGTCAAGTCCGTTGATAGATACACACATAAACACATTAGAATAAAAGTAATTATTTTTTTTAACTCTTTGAATCTTAGTTTAGGTTTATTTCACTGTAGCGAACACTCTAAACCTATTCTCCAAGTCCAGCTAAATTTAATAACAGAATTTGAGGGAGTGTTGCCCAGTGAGTGCTTGTTACTCGAAAATGATGATTGGCTATGGGATTTAGCTTTTCTCACAGATATTTTGGGACATCCAAATAATTTAAATTTAAGATTACAAGAAAAAGATTGTATTTTTCCCACCCTAGTTAGTCATATATCTTCCTTTGTGAACAAACTTATGTTTTTTTTTTGTTTCGATTTCGGAGAAAAAAGATTAACACATTTCACATGAATGAAGGAACTAGCTACCAAAGTCAATAATGCTCTGAACTATAACAGATTTAAGAATTTAATACCAATTTTGAAGGATTCATTCAGTACTAGGTTTGGTGATTTTCAAGATGATAAAAAAAAATTGCTGATCTTTTCACAAATCCTTTTTCAATTTTTCTACAAGACGTTAATTGTTACCGAACTGAAATCCAAATCGAAATTAATGATCTACAGCAGCCTAGTACACTGAAAAGCAAATACAGGGAACTTATTTCAGCTGCAAGTGATCCAAACTATATTAAATTTTGGAAATTTGTACCAACAAGCAATTTTTCAAATTTACACGATTCGCCTTCAAGTATTGTTGTAGGTTTGGATCAATATATGTTTGTGAACAAATGTTTTCTATTGTGAACATATTAAAATCAAAATATTGTTCAAGAATTAGCTGAAGAAGCGCCTAAAACATCTAATTTTGTTAGCATCTTCAAGAACTAATCCTAATATAGATGACTTGGTAAAAAACTACGTATTAAAAAACATTAAGTACCGACTGTTTAATAGTTATTTAGAATTAAATGTTTCAAATAATTCATTTTTATTTTATACATAAGCTAATTGATTGAATCTTTAAAAACTGTGATCAACAATCAACCCTAGTTTGTACTTTTGTTTTATTTATTATAATTTTTTTTAAATGCCCACTATTCAGACTTACATAAAATAATTCAATAATCAGCGTATAAATAAAATTTTTTCACCTTTTGTATTTTTTAGTGTGTTGGAAAAGTTGGAACGTTGTAACCTTTTTTTTTGCCCAAACAGTGGCACTTTTCCCAAAACGGTTGGCCACCCCTGGCTTATACTAACTAACTTAACTTATTTTTACTCAATTGTTTCTAAAATTTGGATCTATTTTTGAAAACTTACATGGGGAAGGAAAATCCATAAATGTATGCATAGACCGCTTTTACTGTTTCATTTATAGAATTATGCAATATAATTGCTAAGTAATCTTAAAAGCTCTTCCATTTATCAAGCAATAAATGCAGTTACACTTGTTACGTTTGACGATAATCTCAACAATATATATTTAAATTAACTTTTAAATCTAATCAAAAATGAATTTCCAAAAAGATTCACGAATTTTTCAAAAAGCAGCCATATTCCTATTGAAAAGTTATCTCAGCCCTTTTTATACCTGAAAGTTGGAATTGGATGATTAGCTGCAAATGAAAGTAATTCTTAAATTTTGCGGTATGTAATAGTACCAGTTAAATGCTTTTATTGTTTAGTGTCGAAGTATTCGCAAACATCCAGCTGTTACAATAAGTTTTTTTTTTTTTTTTTTTTGGAAAAATTTTTCGTAACGAAGAAGGGACAATTAAGCACGTTTGAAGATTATGCACGAATATGCAATGCACGTGAACGCGCACACGTTCCTTAATTAAACAGCTTGAAAAATAGTTTTAAAGAAGCCAATCCGTGGACTAATCTATTTATCTCAAAGGGCTGTTGACTGCTGAAGGCTGCGATCGCCCACTTGTATGACGAGAGATTTTATATCTTCTGCACTTTTGACCTTCCTCGGAATTCTAGGTTCGGAGAGGACTGAACCACTTCTGCTTCTGTAAGGACTCCCGACGAACACCGAATTCTGGCGAGGTCTCATCTTGTTAATGTGATAAGGCGTCGAGGCTGCTCCGAACTCCATGTTGAAGCGTTCGAGTGGGGCTAGTGCATCGTTCAATGGTAGGCGGGCCGGCTTTGCTATGACAGGATGTGAGTGATATTGCGGTTGGTAAGGCTCCAGCATCCGAATTTTCCCCCATTTGTTGAAGAAAAGCACAATGACAAACACCCAGACGGCCAGCACTAAGACGACAATGACCACTTCTTCCTCACGGACTGTGAAAGGAGGTGGGGTCTCCTCTTCCATCTGTGTCGTATCGCCCTTCTGACTCCAGCTCTCGTTCTCTGGAAAAGAATATTTGAATGTAATGTATGAAGTAATGTAATCAGTTTTAAATTATTATGTACTGACTCTGCTCAAATACGTACTTATTCTGTTGCACTGCACATGGAGAACTCTTCCGAAAAATATAGCAGTGTTTCAAATTATGACATTAAACACTTTTTGAATAATTTTACATTTGTTGTAATTTAGATAAATTTATCTGATCTATATTTTGACAGTGTCATTGGTTACTTAAATCTATTCATATTTATTTCATGTGTGGAGCAATGCTTAATCTGTTTGGGCTACTAAAAAGTCTATATTAAGTATTCCATATTTTTATAATAGTTTTAACCTATCAACAAAATAGACTATTTATGAAAAAAAATTCTTAACTTGAAAATAATAATAATTTTTATACGGGTTAAAAAACTGGAATTTTATCATTTAGAATCTAACTTATAAAGAAATGTTCATAAAACAACAACCTAAAACTTTGAGACTCTGAAACTGCCAAAACAGATATCTGATAGAAAATAATTCTTTAAATTCTGTTCCAGAATACTGAATCACCTAGAGCTAATGCGCTGAGAAATCACCATCGATAGTAGACAATTTCGAACTAAGTTGCCTTCAATTGAACTAACACCTTCAATTGAACTAACACTTTAGCATAAAGGTATAATCGAAGTCTTGCTTTCTGAGAAGGATTATTTATCTGATCTTACTGGCATTAGATTAGTTTCTGTCGATTGTTAACCCTTTGCACTGGAGAGGTAAGTCTTCCTCACCACTTTTGAGTCCATTAAGAAACCTATCAAAATTTTATGCGTGCTTTTGCTAACCTGAAAGTGTTGAATTGATTTTAATGTACTTATAATTTCAATCCGACTCAAACCCTTTTGAATAGATGCAACAATCTCATATTTTGTGATATCTTTCTTTTTGGCTTTTTAGAATTCAGATATCATGCTGATTTTCTAGGGCGTTAAGATAAAGTACATAACTTATCTTGGATATGGACTTAAAACACGGAAGATAGGCGAATTAATTCAAGAATTGATGTTGTAGCCATAAAGCCGGCCTTTAGCCAATATGTGCTGATGAGACCTTACGTTGCCGTCGAGCAACCAGGCATGTATTTTGTCTTGCAATGTAAATCAGTGATACTTTTAAACTCATTTGTAGTATATTTAATTATGGTCCACCTGACCACCGGCATGAACTTGGATCTGAAACTTTCTGCCCATGAAATTATGAGTTTTCTTTGGTTCTTTTCTAGTGGTTATTGCGAACTGATTTAGCCTAAGTCGAGGATTATTACGTGTTCCACATGACTTTTCATGTTACACGGATATTCAAATCAGGCTGTGCTTTCTATTTGGTCTAAATTCATTTTGTGCTTTTTGTAGAAACTTTTTATTATTTTAATACAGTACATTTCCAATTATCCGAACTCCGACTATCCGAATAGCTTTCAGAATTTAAGAAGGAGAGAGAGGAAAGAGACAGGAAAAGATGAGGATGACGTGTCAGTTGAGGAATTAATAAACATTCTTTTGAAAATTCGTGGATGTTCAGACGTTAGTGCTGAGGATACAGCAGAATGGATCGTTTGTTATTCGTCAGACCCTGGGTTTTAAATTTTGAATGATGATGAACTTATTGAAAGTGTCGAGGAAGAAGATGACCTTGATGTCGAAGTTGAAGCAGACACGGGAACATCAGCTAGTGAAGCGTTTGCCGGCCTTGAAACTGCGTTGAAGTGGATGCGTCAGCTCGAGTGTGACCCCATGCAACTTCTCATTGTCAAGCGGATGAGCGATTTGGCTACACGAAAACGGATGAAGACAGTCACACAGCCTATTTTGACCGAGATGCTCAGCAAGCAATGACTTTCAGCACTTGTAAGTACTGTACAGTATGCTATATAACATGCACATAAAAGTGTTGCCTTTTCATTTTAATTAATTAAAACCTCAATTTCTTTAGAAATAGCTTTTTTCTCTTATTTTCAATATACAGTACATACAGTAATTAATTAAAATGTATTTAGACCTTTTATTGCGAAAAGATCCAATTATCCGAATTTTTGATTATCTGAATGGGGTCCGGTCCCAATTGATTCGGATAATTGGAGGTCTACTGTACTTAGAAGTAGTGTTGAAATTAGAATTGAAATGTAATTGAAATAGAATTTTGCCCAAAGTTGTTAGTCGAAAATAATACATCTTTGATCTACATTATATAGGTGAATTCCTCACATTGCCAGTAATTAAAAAAGGCCATTTTCGTACTTCTTAACATCTTGCAAAAGAGCTGCTTTATATCATTAGTATTATGAATAAATAGATTCCTAAAATTTTATGATAGGCGATTGCAGAATTCCTAACTCTATTTTTTATACATTATTCTCTGCATTCAAAATAATATTAAATGGCTATAATGAAATTTGGGAGTAAAGATAAATTGCAAGTCTCGTTATACATCAACACATTCTGAATTTTGTTCAAAAGGTCTTTCTTAATATTTTGAAATTTTTCTATTTACATTACGTTGAATTTAAAAAAAAAAAAAAAAAAAAAAAGAAATTTACAAGCAAATGCTATGCTAGAGTTTTAAATCTAAGTTCATGTAAAATGAATCTCATTAGTTGGTAACAGTAGGTATTATTTTTATTTAAGAACAAATATGAATTTGTATGTTTCCAAAATTTTAAATATAATTTTAATTAAAAAATTTAATACCAAGTTTTTCTTTCAAGTGTAGACTAATCTGAAGTTTTCAGATTTCAAGTCCTCCCTTCTTTTCATCAATTTATATCTTTTTTACTGTCTTAACTAATGTTGAATTTCGTAAGTGCTTGAGCGTTTAGACAGTTCTTTGAAATAATTATATTGAGTCATTTTGTTCTTATTGGAAACCAGTCTCGTGTGATGACGTTTACAGATGAATTCCTTGCACAATCGTTGTGTAATTGTTGGATGCTAAAAGTCTATCAAGAATTGTGATTTTGATTATTTCACACTAGAGATAAATAATAATAAGCTTCAATCTTAATAACAGAAGTTTGCTACAATGCACATAATTCGCATGTATAGGCGAAGGTGAACCCTCGTGCTACATGAACGTATGTAACATAACAGCAGTTAGCTATCAATATTTGGTCCGGTACTGTGGGGACCACTTAATAAGCCTACATCTTCCGCCTGCGTGTTTAGACAGATGGTGTTATAAAATGTTTTGGGGAAGTCTTGCTCGAACAATTAAACGACCAACAAATCTTCAAGTTGCTGTGCCATGATGTATAGTTTGAGCATGATGGGGTCCCAATCCATTTTCAAATGTGATGTTTGGAAGCTCTTTAATGCGACACAGTGGATTCATTGGCCTGCAACAGAGGTGCCCTAGATCACACTAGGAGACGAGATATTTTGGGCCATACCAATTATTTCTAATATCAGCGACAGCTCTGCCCCCCCCAAAAAAAAACAAATGACTCGGAAGACAAATGACGCGAAAGCAAATCACCCTAATCTAAAATTGTGTTAGTTTCATTGAAAATGTTCGGATTTCCTCGTGTTTGACCTTTGAAAGAAATTTTTGAATTTTACTTCTAGGAGAGAAATGTACGAATTTGATTGAATTGGCTCAAATTTGCTGTATAAGAAATCACATCTATAGAAAAATTTTAAGTGAATCATTGATTTTCTTGATTTATATGGCGAGCCGCCACTGCCTAATACTAACGATGGCTGATGGGGGGACATGTTTAAGTGATTTAAACTTTATTAATTTATGATATTTTATTGTAATGAGAACACACAGAATTATTTTGGCATTATATTTGACATTTTATGCATAACATTTAATTATAAATTTTATTTATAATTATAAAGATAAGAAGAAATCATAAAATGTGATATTTGGCCTCGAATTCGAGAAACTAATGCATCAATGTTTGGTTCGATTGAAGTAGTTATAATTTTTAGGAAATTCTAAAAATGTTCACCCTATATTCTGGTTATAAGTTTACTCTTAGTGTGCTTCATTCTTGTATGAAGTTGTTCACAAAGGTACGAGCTGCCCAATAAATGATAATATGAATAACGCATAACTTTGTAGTGAGGCTTGTTTGTCACTGGGTAGGTATGATTTAAAAAAGTCCAGGTAAAGTTAATAACACTGTACATAGTGACTATGGTATCGTTTTAAACATAAGGTTGAAACACCAAACTGCATTTTGAAAACGCATTTTATTTCCCTTCAGTTCATAGCATCAAGTAACCCTCCCGTTCATGTTGAAAGCCAGTCTCGAACCCTGATCGCAACGATATAAGGTACCATCTGGGTGAGGTCTTGATAATACTTCTGAGCTTCGCGCTCTCTTCTAGGGCCGCGTTGATAGCTGCTTTGCGCCACATGTGGCTCGCAGGCCGCGGGTTGGATACCCCTGGCCTGCACTGTCGCAGGATTCATGCTCCATGGCCTTTTTCTGGGATCACATGAAAGTTTGATTAAGGTACAGACATGAACAGTGAGAACGATCTTGTCGCATTCATTTGCATAGCTGCCGCAGCCGTCCGAGAGACGTCCGAAATATTTCAGAAACATCTGTGATTCCAAATGCCGCCGATCTTAGATTTGTGTTGTAGCTGGTTATGGAAACATGAAACACCATCTGCGATTTCTCTTAATATCGCAATTGTTACATTTTGCTAAAAAAATTAATGTTTCTCAGTTATGTGTTGCTCTTTTATTTCTATAATTCTCCTGCATGCTTGCATTCGATGACGATGACATTTCTGAATCTGGATTGCTATCTAATTCCGACTCGTCTTTGAATAACCTACCCCTCCGAGATATTTGTGCACGCGAAAGCAAATCACCCTGTGGCACCTATATTATTGTAATAAATTTGGAATACACTCAAGGTAAATGTTGAAGCATAATCGAAGAAGCTTGTAGTACTGGCAGTTTTAAATTTTTCCTTATTATTTAAGAAAACATTCCAATAAGCCATCATAAATAAAGTACATGCAACAGCGCCTTGTTCTTATTGGTACCGCTACACTTTTTAAAATAATTTTGAACATAGACAGAGTCCAAATCTAAGCAACAAAATAAGTAGAAAAGCGAGTGCATCATTCAGTATGGAAGCCTAATTCAAAAGAAGAAAAACTCTGGTTAGCAATCCTTTCGTGAATTATTAAAAGCTACGGTGTTGATTTTCAGTCTGCAATTATGTAATGGATAGAAAAGTGAAATAGCCCAAATAAAATACAGAATTAAGGGACCATTGCAAATTTAAATTAAAATTTTGATTTACATATTTTTGTATATATATATAACACTGTTGAGAATAGTCATAATGGAAGTTTTAATAATTAAAATGGAAAAGAGACGAATCTGCGCGTTGGCTGCTAGATTATAAAATGATAAAAATCAAAAAGTAAAGGTCGGAACGAAAATGAAATTTTGATTTTGAGATATGAAGGTCTAACCTTTTCTCTCCGAGTAAAAATTGCCAAACCGAATAAACGCAAATTAATGAAACTTTCAAAAACCGAATCGTTAATAGAAAATTAAAATGAAAAAGATAAAATTAAAAAAAAATGCAGAACATGATACATAACAAAACAAATACCAAAATAATTTTTTTATTAATCTCTGTTTAACGCTTCAAATAGAGTTTGTCAAGGGAAAAGTGTTTTGAAGCTGTAATACTTCTTTGGCGATATGAAGCAACTCCAATGATGGAACACAGCAATAACTTTTATTTAACACTCAAAAAAGGCGACATACAAACAAGAAGAAGAAAGAATACTAACATTTAAAAATAAATTGCATTCTTCATTTCGAGAGTCGCACGTGGCACTCGAGCCTGGTTTCAAATATTGCCATTCACAAATACCTTAATATTCATCTATTTAAATTATTTAAACTACAAGATTTTAATAATATTTAAAGCTGTTACAACCTCTCCCCCAACGGAGAGACTTTTACCGAAGAGAAAAGTTCTGTAAAATTCGAAAGTTTATAAGCTCAGCTTGCTGAATTGTTTAAAGAGAAAAGGTAACTTCTCTCATACGTTTCCAAACTTCGGGCTAAAAATTTTAAGTTTTAAACAAATAGTTTTACACCACATTTAAATAGAAAAAAATGGAGAATGATCAAATTAGTCTTCCTTTTTTTTTTCTTGACGTGGACTTCTAGGTCTATGAAACCAGCTTTACGAATTAAATCCTGATGACAATTTTTTTTTTTTTTTTTTTCAGTTTTATTTTTATTATCTGAACTCAATTTACCTTGAGTTAGTGCATTGTATCTTTCTTTCTGCCGATCCACTACAGGTCTCTTTTGAAAGTTTCCGCAAAAGTTTACGTAGGCATCAAGTTTTCCAGCTAATGTTTTAGATGAAATCATCTCTACCCACTCATCAAGAAAATAATCTCGAATTTCAGGAGGAACTCGACGCTTAAGTTGGTCAATCACCATCAAATCTAGCAACTGATCAAAAGTCTTAAGTCCTAGACCAGTCACCCATTCTTTGCAATAATTTACTATTTCATAATTGAAATCCACCCATGTGGATTCGGTATTCTTTTGATGCTTCATAAATTTCTGCCTAAACTTTTCCGGGCTTAGTTTAAACCGTCTTAACAATAAATTCTTACCGTGTTCATAGACTTTAGCTTTATCGGAGGGTTCTCTAGCTATTAATTGGGTTACTTCGTAAGGAAGTAGTCCTAGTAAATGAGATACAAATTCTTCTTTATCAATTTGAGCCCATTCTGCTTGCCTTTCAAACAATAGCAAATATAGACTGATATCTCCTTCTTGTCATCGAATTTTTGCATAAGGTGACGCAGCTCCGTTTTCGGCCGGATCTGTCCGGTATTTTGAGACTTTGTCTCTGCTTCAAGTCTTAATCTCTCTAATTCATACTGTTCTTTGTTTCTCCGCTCTTTCGCTTCTTCCTGTCTTCTACGTTCTTCTCTTTCCTCCCTCTCTTTCCGTTCTTCTATTTTATTGTGTCTAAGACTCCTTTGACGAATACTTCATCATAATCTCTACTTTCAACAATTTTCTGTTTTAAATCGACTATTTTGAAATCTGCAGTCACATGAACTCCCAGTTCAGCCGCGAGATTTTGCAAATCTTCCTTACGAGCTCTTCCTAAGTAAGACATTGTTTCTATGTTTAAAATTAACGAACTCTGTGTTCTTTGTACTTCCTCAAAATAGCTCAATTCAATTACTTTAATTAACTAATGCAGTCAGGAATCACGAAAATAAATGCACTTTGTTAAGTACGTATACCTCAAAAATGAAATATTTAAATTATATGAAGTTCATTCTCTCTACCACATTAATTGTGACTAAAATAAGAATAACAACATAGAGCAATATATATATATATATCTACCGTCTGGACAACTAAAATGAATATTAAAATATAATATCCAATACGGTAATGAAATAAGACAATTCAATTATTAACAGGAAGTAATAATCTGGTATTCACTAATATTGCATTCAGTGATGAACTAATAAAATACAGCAATTCAATATTAAACAGGAAGTAATAATCTGGTTCACTAATATTATGTTCAGTGATGAACTAATAAAATAAAAATACGCACGATTATTCGATCTCGGTCAGTGCCTCCAAAATAATTAAGACTGTAATACTTCTTTGGCGATATGAAGCAACTCCAATGATGGAACACAGCAATAACTTTTATTTAACACTCAAAAAAGGCGACATACAAACAAGAAGAAAAAAGAATACTATAACATTTAAAAATAAATTACATTCTTCGTTCGAGAGGCGCACGAGGTACTCGAGTCTGGTTTCAAATATTGCCATTCACAAATGCCTTAATGTTCATCTATTTAAATTATTTAAACTACAAGATTTTAATATTATTTAAAGCTGTTACAAAGCCTTAAACCAAATTGATTAATAAGTTCCGAATACATGTTTCGTTCCATGCATGTTTCTGAGCCGTATGAGACTTAAAGCTGCTTTTCATCACCAAATCTTCATTTCAAAAGAAATTTCTAATGCTCAGATTTTTTCCCTACATCATTCGTAGTTAATTAAATAAAAAATTATATAAAAATGATTAAAAGTAGTATAAAAAGCTAAGCAAAATTGATTAATTTACCTTGATTTAATTTTGTGTGATTAGTTTGGTTGTTGCCTTAAGCATTTGCATAAAATTTTTGATTTACTTGAGTAAAAAAACAAACACAATGTGAATCGCGTATGACAAAAATGTACTGAGATATATGATATTAAATTCTGAGATCATATTCAGGGGCCGTACACAAATTGAGGAGCGCAATTTTTACATTTGTACTTACCTAAAAATAAAATATCAGGTTAGAAAAAAAATCTGATATTAGATAAGGGACGAGCATTTCAGTGTAGATTATTGTGAAGAATATCGAGAAGTATAATTTTGTTTTCAAAATAGAGATCTTTTTCTCAGAATTTTATAGAATTCTATGTCTAGGAAACACTAGCAACTGAGTGAAAATTAAATTATTGAAGTATCTGAGTTGGCTTCATTATTGGCACGTAGCCAACTCGTAATATTATTTGCACTCATTAAAAAAGGAAAATATTTGTATTTTAATGAATTTGTTTGTGTAACTATCAGATCATGATACTAAACTAATAAAACATAAGTATTTTTAGACATTGAAAACTTATAAATTGGTCGCATGAAAGTTCTTTCGGCATACCCAATATAAAAATAAAGACGTAAGTATGATAGAAGAATGTCACTAAATGGCGCATAAGAGAAAAAATAAACTTAGAATTATTCCCGTTTATTTATTAACTGACCTCTTGATGCAAATTGAAAACAACGTTAATGTTCACAACTTCTGAAATTAAATACCTCGGTCAATTTTTTGGTCTTACGGGAGCCAAACGTTTTGTATTTTATTTTTTATAATGAGCATAACATTTTCCTAAATATAACTATAGGGACCGAGAAAGCGTATAAAAAGTTAGATTTCGTATTTTATACAAAACTTACTTATAAAACTTACAATTATCGAAACGTAAATATTTGCGTCATTTAAAACATTTTTGTACTTGGAAGTATATGTTTACAACCGACGGTTGTGAAGGCCGGGTAAAGAATTTTGTGGATGCAGTGCACATTCATATATATTTTTTCAGAAATGAAAACACTTACGCGTGACATCTGGGGACACGAAGTGCACCTTGCTGCTGATGTTGGTCGGATGTCCGGAGAGTGCGAAAGCCACAAGGTATAACTGGTACTCTGTCGCTGGTTGCAGTCTTTCCAAAATCAAGGACCTCTGTTCACCTGGAATATCGTGAACCACTCTGTATCTGAGAAGAAGAAAAAAATTGTATGAATATTAAGTTTTTATTTATAGTTTCTACAGTGCAGAATTCGATAGTCAGAAACTGCATAAGCTTTACACTGAAGTACAGAACTTCATTTTATTATTTACATTTTTCGTTTCACTCTGTTTAAGTTAAAATTACACCAGCACCCCGTAGTCACTATATTCAGTACCCGTTGTTTCAATTAACGGAGTTTATATATGCTCCCTATATTTTGGGAAATTAGACACAAGCACGTTTTAGGTATTTGGCAATCGAGAACGAACCTTAACATCGTGAAATATATCAACCTAAATGTTACGAATAATGTCATCTTTCAGTAATCTCGACAAACAGCACATTTATGCATATTGTTGTCGTTGTCGTCACTATAAAGCCTATTCAAATATAGCCATGAGCGAAGATGACAGTCCTAGCAATCTGCAAAATGTTATCGTCGTAGAGGTTTGGCCTCTTGAACAAGACCCCAGTTTTTAAGAATTGAGCGAGGATGGCCGGAGATTCAAAAGTGTGTGGAGTTGTCAGTTCTGGGCAATTGCCATAGTTTCTATAGTTTTCATACCCTCTCTGTAAATTTTCACTCTTGTGTGATGCCCACGTGGGATGCCACGTGCCTGACTGTGGGTTTCGTTACAAGTCTATCTTCATTGATGTTATGGAGCTGGTGCTTTATTGGAATCAAATTTTTCTTCAATCTGTATTTGCATCCGAGAGATTTCAAGGCTCTTTTGCCAGTTTATTTGCATTCTCGTTATTTGTCATGTTGATATGTGCTGGCAACTATTGAAGAATGCAGGACTTATCTAACTTTTGAAGCTCGTGTAGGTGAAAAGGGATCCTGTTGGTGATCAGAGAGCTTTTATTCAGGATTACCTGTAGAGCTGCTTTTGAATCACAGAAAACAACGAGTTCTTTTGTTTGCTCAGAAATATGCATATGCTTCTGGGAAAAAGAACGTCTTTTTTTTATTGTCATGCTATTTCTTGAATCTGAATGTAATACTACATGGTACAGTAAAAGTATTTTTTATTTTCTTTCATCTCTTGAAAATTACTTTTAAAACATCGAAAACCTTTAATGAAGAGAAATAAAGGAGAGAAAATGCAATGTAAATATGTGATGAGGCACAAAGTACAATTTATTACTCCGTTATTTGATGTTGCTTATGCCTGCCTGTGTGAAATTATCAGTTAATTACAGTGGAACCTCTGATCAATAAATGCCTCGCTTCACGAACAAATTACTTGAACGGCCCGGAAGACGAACGATATCTCGAATTACGAACACTTAAGTGGCTAACAAGTGATTTTTCAATGAGTTTTAAGATAACTTATACCATATAATTAACAGGCAGAGAATTCTAGAAACATGATTTTTATATTTTCTAGTACTTAATTCTCATTAACAAAGCATAACAGCAGGAGATATAAAATACCCCTAATTCGTATTGAAGAAAATGATGGCCAGATTGTGTTGTATGCAGAAAATTTGAGCGCTTTGACACCTAGGATTTCTTTTGTTATTGTTGTTGTTGTGTTTCTAGGCTAGGAAGTTAGTAATAATGACGTTCAGAATTTACTAAAGGGCCGTAAAAGCGAGCCCAACAAGCAAGAATTACAACAACTATGGAAGCAGTAACAAAAGGCGATTGTGGGAGAAATGTCTTCAGAAGAACGGGAAGAAAGAACAAATTCTTAAAGCTTTTCATATTCATAAAAAAATATCTTGTTTAGTTAATGCCTTTAATTCTAATCCAGAGTTTCCTAATGCTTTTAAAATTCTAACTTAATTTTTTAACTTTCGTTTACTGTTTCTGCCGACAGATGGCGCTACTCCGTTGCCTTTATTCCTTTTTGGTATAGAGGCAACCGTGGCTTTCCCTTCGTTGCAGATTTCTTTGCTGCTGATGAAGAAGGACCTGTACATGTGCGTTCACGAAATCGATAGAGTTTTGACTAAACTTCTACGCTAAATACAAGGTTGTTGCTTTATTAATTTTATGCTTTACTTTAGAGTTTTTCTCATTTAGCTCCAAGTATAAGACTTTTCAAATGATCTTTTATGTCCGTCATATTATTTATGTATAACTGTAAGTTAGTTATCTGTATTACTATACAGGGTGTCCGAAAAGTCTTTCACTGATTACATAAATTGATAACTCAGGCTAGAAGTAAGATACAAATATGAAACTTGTGTCGAATTTTTTACAAACTATCAAAGTTTTTTTTCTGTTTTAGGTTCGCAGTACGTAAGTAGTCGATGAGGTGCAGCGCCCAAGAAGCCATGTTAACCAATCAGGAGTAGGCACAGTGTGTCCTGTGGTACCATAAGACACGATCATCAACCAAAGTGCAGAGACAATTCCAGACAACATTTGGAAGGAATCCACCTGATGTCAAGAGCATTAAAGCCTGGTATGAGAAGTTCAAGAACACAGGATCGGTTGCTGACCTTCCGAGGTCTGGTCGACCAAGAACCTCAGCAGACAGGGTGGAAGCTGTGAGGCAGTTTTTTCTGTGAAATCCGAAGAAATCGGTGCGCAGGGCCTCACGTGAATTACAGATACCAAAAAGCTCTCTCCATGACATTTTACACAAACGTTATTGTTTCGTGCATACAAAGTGCAAATCGTTCAGGCCTTGTTGCCCAATGACAGTACACGTCGATATGACTTCGCGGTCGAAATGCTATTACGTATTGAGAACGATGATGGTTATCTCAGACGAATTGCCTTTTCCGACGAAGCGACCTTTTTTGTCAGTTGAGTAGTGAATCGCCATAATGTGCGCATTTGGGGTTCACAACGTCCTGGCGAGGTCATGGAGTGCACCAGAGGTATTCCAAAGGTGAATGTTTGGTGCACGCTATTCCACCATCGAATTATCGGGAAATTCTTCTTCGCTGAGGCTACCATCACATCTGCAGTGTATCTGGACATGTTGCAACTGTATGCTGATCCTCAGCTGCTTCAGTATCACCTCGATGTCTTGTTTCAGCAAGACGGTGCACCGCCTCATTGGGGTTTTGGACGTCCGTGCCTATCTCGATATGACCTTTCCTGGGCGATGGATTGGTTGTGATGGGCCAACGGTTTGGCCTCCACGCTCTCCTGACATAACCCCATTAGTCTTCTTTTTATGGGGTTATGTCAAGGACGAAGTCTACCGAACACGTGTACCAGATCTTGAAACCCTGCGGCAACGGATAACCACAGTCGTTGAATCGATCCCTCCAGTGATGTTGGCTAATGTGTGGACGGAAATTGAATATCGCCTAGATGTGCTACGTGCTACCAAGGGTGCTCATGTGGAAGTTTACTGATGTGTGAAAAAAACTTTAATAGTTTGTAAACAATTAGACACCAGTTTCATATTTATATCTTACTTCTAGCCTGAGTTATCAATTTATGTAATCAGGGAAAGACTTTTCGGACACCCTGTATATCATTTGAAATAGGTTTCATTCCTTTTGTAAATTTTCTTATTATTAAATTTTTCAAGTTTTTATTGTAGAATTTTCAATTAAGAGCGCAAGTCAAGCGATAAATGTAAACGCAGTTGGTTTCCACCATTTGGGATCTTCGTTTCGGCCTGGTCTTTTATAGAACTCTTTCTTCCCCATATGTAGTGGTATCTTTTAATTTAGAGATACCGATTTAATTCCATTTGCATAATTACGGAAAACTATCGTAAGTTGATTTATTGCACCGATAAAATTTGCATTGTTATACAGTAGCGCAAGACCTCTGCCTTGTTTGACATCCATGATTTATCAGGATTTCGGTGGAAGTGGTGATTAAAATATTATCTCGCTATTTAGCTTAAATGAGTGAGAATTCTCGAGCTATTTTGACCTCAGAGATATTAATCTCAATGTTACGAACAGATCGCAGTAATTATGTTTTACAGTTCAGACGTGATATTTTTCACAGTAATCGAATTATGGCATATAGTTATGTGCTGATTATCCATGTTGCGATTGCCTTATAGTGTTGCGAGGCCCCCAACTTGTCAGCAACTATGGTAGTGGCTGCTATGAACTGTAAATTACACAAACTCGTAAGAAGGGTTTAAATCCCTTTTTATTCATTCCACTTTAGACATAACAGCTGCGTTCACTTGACGCTCACAAACTACGCCGACCCGGCGGTTTAACAAAACAGAAATGTGAAACTAAAAATAAATGACAGGATGAATAAATAACGAGATCACTACCTACGAGGCTCTAAAATCGTAACTAACTTAACCGCGTTCTAAGATACAGCTGAGATTCAGCAAGCTTACTGATTAAGCAGTTGAAAGATTCAACGAACTGCCGAAATAGGCACACAGGCCGAAACGCGCGGTTCTTAAATTTCTACCTAGCAACCTTCACGCTCGTGATTCAAGAAGCACACATACAATCTCGTTTCCCTTCTATTTAAACTCAACTTACTTCTGCTAAAATTTGAATACACTGCGCGTTCTACTACAATTTACATACTCTGGCATTGGCAATTCTAGGGGAAAGTAAAGGCTTGACAGGAAAGATAGCTTAAAATAAATGTTAGTTAAAATAAATATAAACCCTACATTTGCCGCTGCCAGAATTTGGTAAACTTGGAAGCAGGTCCTAGAAACGACCTGTGGTAAAGTTTCCATATTCTGACCTAAAACTCAAGAGCTCCGTTTACAAAAACAAACTTTTACCTAAAACATTACAATCGTTTCTGTAGATGATTAAAATACCATATCTTCTTACAGGATCCTTTGGTCTTCATCAATCAATCTTTTTCTCTTCCTTCCAGCATCTGGAAGGAATAAGTATCAGTATATTCTAAATACATTATGATTTACACTTTCTTAACACTCGATAAAGTTTTCGTTTTCGATCCTTTTCTTTTCCTTAATTAACTGCTTACATTCACATTCATTCAAATATTCAAACATGAATTTAACTTTACCCTGGTTCTCCACCATGTGTGGTGTCAAACGGGAATCTTC